CTGCTTCAGCAACGAATTCTCTACATTCACACACAAAACTGTGTACTTTGATTTCCAGGTTGGAGAAGATCCACCGCTGTTTCCTAGTGAAAACAGAGTGACTGCACTTACCCAGGTAAGATGCTCTCGTGCTTGACAGCAACTGATAGCTTGAAAGAATGTTGTTTGTTTTTTTCCAGATTCAGCTGCATTAGATATTTATATCACCATTGAACATCAGTTGGAATTCAGACAGCATTTTTGCAGGGAGAGTGAAGGGTGAATGCCTGAAAGTAGAGGGGCTTGGCACTGAAGAATATCTTCAGCAGAGTAAAAGGCATCTAGAATTCATTAGTGACACCAGTGGTGGAACTTAATGGGAAACCTGTTCCTGAATCTCACTGAGAAGAACAACTTGGGACTTGTTCAGACACCAGACTTGTAAAACATGGTTAAACACAGATGTAACTGCAAGTGGCCATACTAGAGTGTTAAACTTTTCCTTTACCAATCACAGAATGATAGAATGGTTTGGAAGGGCCCTCAAAGATCATCTGATTACAACCTTCTGCCACAGTTGGCGTTGCCAACAACTATATCAGGCTTTCCAAGGCCCCATCCAGCCTGTCCTTGAACATGTCCAAAGATGGTGCATCCACAGTTTCTCTGGACAGCCTGTGCCGGGGCCTCACATCTCTCTGTGTGAAAAACTTCACCCTGACATCTAATCTAAATCTCCCTTGCTTTAGTTTAAAACCTTTCCCCCTTGTCCTATCAGTAAAACTTGTAGTAGGTTGTGCTGTTTGTTCTTCAGAAAATCCCACTTTAAGACATAAAGCTGAAAAACTACCTGTTAGAATTCAAATATTTTGATGATCTGCTGATTGATTCTGTGATGATCAAAACACAGTAAAGAGTCCCGACTTTTACTTAGACAGCATGAGCTGAACATGGAAGAAGTTTGTGAGAAATGATTTAGGGTTTGGAAAGCTGGCAACGCAGATTGAATGGGTTAAGTGTTTTTAGTTTAGGAGAGGAAGTAAGTGAATTTGGGCAGATTTTTCAGAATTATTTTAGTGTTGTGGACCATTTGGAAACACTGAAAAATAACAGAATTGTCCTTTCTCTAATCAGTTTTTGCATACATGAGTGAGAGAAGGGTCTCTTGATAGAAGAACATACTGACTTTGTTAGTGTAGTTTTTGACATGTTGTAAAACTTTCATGACAGTTAGTGAATAACATCCTAGTTGTGCACGAATGTCATACATGTGTTAAGCAGCTCTGTATTTTAATGATAGAAATGATTGGGATGTTACTGTCATTTCAGTAGCTGTATTAGATAAAAAATGTTACGTGCTCTTAATGGGGAACGCTGTATTTGTTTCCTTCTGTAGATGGAGTCTGCCTGTGTTTCAATTCATGAAGCTTTGAAGTCTGTGATCGATTATCAAACTCACTTTCGACTGAGAGAAGCGCAGGGCCGCAGCAGAGCTGAGGATTTAAACACAAGAGTTGCTTACTGGTCGATAGGGGAAGCAATCATTCTTCTTGTTGTTAGTATCGGGCAGGTGTTTCTCCTCAAAAGCTTCTTCTCGGATAAAAGAACCACAACAACTCGTGTTGGATCATAACTGGTAGTGATAATGCTTCAGGTCATTATGCACTATTAATCTGTAAAGTTGTTATTCTCCGATTAATTCTAGGTACAAAGGATCTAAATATGTGCAGCATTCAAGTGTGTCTACCCATCATCTATTAGAATCACAAAACAGACACAAAAAGTTATAGAAGGGACACATGATGACATTCAGAAAAAAAAAAACAAAACCTTCTGCTTTCTGATTCCTCTATTAAACATTTGCATTGGCCAGCCTATCTGTCTTTTACTTACTTTAATCCAAATTCAGTTTGTTTGTTTGTTTTTTTAACAGGGAATTTATCTGCAGTATAAAACTTCATAAGAACCAAGCAATCAAATGTCTGATATGCAGAAGCAATGCATATAAAAATTGTGGTTTGATTATAATTTCCAGGCTGAGTGGATTGCATTATAAACAAGCAAACGTGATGAACTGTAATGCTGTTTTGATTTGCTGTTTTTTTTTTTTTAAAAAAAAAAAAAGCTGATTACGTTCTTTGCTTATTTGTTAATCTGTTGCAAGTGTGACACTACATCATGGCTCATTCTCGGTCAGCCTGGTAAATCTCCACTTTGAAAACATGCTAAATTTTATAGTTGAGTGCATTTACTTAAGCATGTATTCTTCTATAGTAAGGTAGAATGTTTTTCCTCTTTTGTGATGTTTTGTTTTACTGAAGAGATTTCAAACTGAGACTACTCAGGAAATAGATTTTCTGTCTTTAAAAATCCAAATCTCCAAATTTATTTTAAAAACTTGCAATAAAATAGAGTTGTAATTTTGTCACTGAAGCTGTGCAGTGTCTGGGCACACGTTGTTGCTGCTTTTTGGATTTAAGACCAGAGGTTGCTTGGTTTGTTATGCAGCACAGCACCAGCACTGGCCAAGGCTGTATTACATGTGAGGCACATACTGAGGTTTTTTCCAAATTGTTTTCCTGTTTAGAGGCCTATTTGATATTGATACTGCATTGCACGTGTGCTGTAAATTTTATTTCCTTGTGTGTGGTGCACTGATACAGTATGGCCTTGTGCATCTGATCGCCACTCTTTTTTGCTAGTGGTCAGAAAATGTTTTAAATATTTCAGGTTATCTTTTGGTAGAGTTAATAGCCACGTTGTTTCCACTGCTCGTGTAGTGAGTAGCTTATGTACTGTAAAGTCTTGCTTTATTTGGATGTGGAAGGAAATAAGTGTATGAACGTACATGTAGCTGAGATTGAACTAGTCAACTCCTTCAGGTGTATCAGGAGGAGTAAGTAGACTGCAACTTGTAAATGCACACAAACTAAACTAAGGTGGGAAAAAATAGTTGTATTACTGACTAATTCAAAAGATGCTTCTTAAACTAATTTTCAACAACCAGAGAAAGAATGCTGTATCCTCATTCACAGCCCGTGTTATCTCCAGCAAAATGTTGAAAGTGACCCCGAAGCATTCTGAAGAACTGACCCAGGGTAACTTCATTTTAAATGTTGTACTGATTTAAAAATGAAATATGTACTCATCTCTGTTCCGGAGAAAACTTCCTCAGAAACCAAAACAAATAACCAAACAAAAAACCCGAAGGAGCTCAAAAATAAGTTAACAGGTCATGGAGGTACTAAAATGCTCAGTGTATGTAAAATTCAGGATTCTGTGTGCTGTCTTGTACTGGAATTCAAATACTGCATTCTCCTTTTGGAATGAAAGATTCCAAGATTTGGAATGAAAGCTTCCAAGCTAAATTCACAAAAGTCAGAAAGGAAAAAAAAAAAAAAAAAAAGTATTCCTTTTTTTGAGACAGATACGTGCCTATGCACTGTGTTCTTAACCATACCTATGTGTGTGTACTTCTGATACTCTGTAGCTTTTGGCTGCTTTGCACTCAACAGTGAAGCAAGTTCTGCGCTTTGGGTGCAAGTATCGGATGAAACCATGAGTTAATTACCAAATTGTCTTCTATAATCTTCCAAATTTTGAATATCACTTCTGTAGTTTTAATCAAAACAAAGACATTTGTTTTAAAGATTGAAATTTTTTTTCCACTGTGTTCTGTGTGCTATTAAAATGGGTAAGCAGTGGGGTAAACCAAACACTGGTTGTCCATTGTATACATGTCTGTTCTTTCATAATGTTTGAATGTGTAAGGTGGGACTGTTCTGCTCAATATTGTGCCCACTGCAGAGGTTTAGTGGACTTGACCTTTTCATTAAAATTAGTTATCTGAACCAGTCCTTTGATATCTTGCTACGTAAATGCAGCAATAGCTTAAAATGCTTTTATTTTGTCGTATTAAAAACATGGCACAGACACCCATTTAAACATAGCTGTATATAGTTTTTAAAACGTGACTGAATAGGATATAATAAAACACATGCTAATATGCAGTGAGTGAAGAAATGCTTTGTGACTTTTTATTTGAGCTGCATCTTTTCATATATGAAAAGATAGCTTGATTAATGGTGTCATACGCAAGTAAATTGCCATGCGTTAATGGGGATACAACTGTGTTTTTAACTGCTAAAGACCCTGGTTTTCAGCTATTCCTTCAGTGTTTTGTGTTTACGCAACTTCTTTTCGTGTTGTGAAATGTCAGTTTTTGATTTAGCTTGGAAAAAAAAAAAGTTTGAGTAAGACAAGAAACAGACTCTGTGAATACTGTATGGGAAAATAAAAAGTTAATATATGATTGTGGTCTGGTTGTTTGGTCTGCATTTGGGGAGCATTATTTGTTTAAAAAGTTTTGAACGACAATCTGAGTGTCAACTCGCATTTTAATACATCACACTGAAAAGTCTTTATTGCCTGAGCTTTGATCACTCTTCCGTTACTGTATGTTGAGAAGTGATTCAATTCACTGCTGTTGATAATTAGCTGTACTTCATGGTCACTAGAGAAAAACAAAGTTGTGATTTGGAATAGTGGGGCTGTGGTTGGCCAGCATTGCTTGGAGATCAGCTGGGAGTGGTAAGGCAATGGCTTCCTTCTGACACCATGTTAGCTGCACCTGCTGTCTTCTCTGTGGTTCTCTGTTGACAGCTAACCAGCAGTTGCTTTGGTTTATGACATCCTAGTGTAAAGGATAGCTTGTGTGTTGGTGGATGTGTTACCAAAGCACTTTGTTCACAGTCTCTTGTAAACCGCAGTGCAGGAACTTCAGGCCTTCACCAAAAATGCAAACACAGAGCTACCCTGCTTACAAATGTTTGTGTTCAGGAAGTGAATGCACAGTGGTGATGGAGACCTCCTTTTGAGCCCTTATGGTTCACGCTTCAATAACTTGTATCTTCTTAATACTTATGTATGCATATTATTACATACCTATACAATAATATATGTCTATCATATATCTATATATGATGATATATATGATGGAAAAAAAAAAAAAATTCAATGCCTTAGAGCTTGCATGGTTTTTAGTTTTCTCATAAACTTTAATATCTGAAATTGAAAGTGGAAGCCAAGCCTCTTACTCTGGAAATACAAATAAATATAATCACACTTAAAGGAAATGTGGAAATCATCACTGAATAGATGATAGAAGGCAATCTGAGTAATGAGAAATAGCTCATCATGATACTATAAACAGTGAACAGTGGGAAGGAGAATTGTATTTGTTCTGAGATTGTGTGAGGAGCTTTTTATCATACAATTTTTTTTTATTTTTTTTTCTTTCAAATAAGTTTATATCAATCCCTGCTGTGGTGGAGTTGTAGCTCCTATATCCTATGCTTTGGTGTAGTTGTTTGTTGTAGCTGGGCTAGCGTAAGCCCGTTCTTAACTCCAAAGAGGGAAAGAGTAAGGATGGCCATACAGAGTTACTGATTTTACTGCTGTGCTTGCATGCTGAGAGACACAGATAGCAGCTTCCTCCTTGTAGATACAACCTGTCCTGTGCCCCTTCCCTTGCAAGACTTTGTTATTTGGCAGCAAAAAAGGACCACAAGCAACATAGCATGTATGAAAGTGTAATTGCTGTGGTGGGACCAGCACAGCAGAATGTGGTTGTTGTTAACGTTTTTTAATATCAAAAAAGGTAGTGTATGAGGTTGTCTTGTAATACATTTGGTGAGGTCAGAGTTCAGGCTTTTTGTTTTCCATTTAAACTGAACAAGAGTATAATCAGCATGGAGGAAGTTTATATTGATAATGATGAAGAAGACTTGCATATGTTTCAGTCAGAGTGGCTGCAAGAGAAGAGCAAACTTGTTTTAATGGGGAGAGGAGGAGGATATAAAAATTGCTTTTATGAATTAAAATGACACGAAATGCAGGAGTACTGTCTGAGCATTACACACACAGCATTATGTCTGTGAGTGTGCTATTTTCTTGTGGGATCAGAATGCTGCCATGCTCTCTGCATGTGTGCTGGAGGGCTGTGAGGCTGTAGTGGTGAAATAGGAGCATGGAATCAGCAGAACTCATGGAGAAGAATATCTGTGCTTGAGCATAGCACAGATAGGCCAGTGCAACCTTTCATGAGTATTAAATACTATTTAAATAAGTAACTCCATGGAATTTCTGGCTTATGTGGAAAGTGCTGAACTTTCAAGAATCAGGAAAGTAGGAAGGCTGGGACTGGAGATCCCACCAGAGGCACCGCTTGGAGAGACTAGCTGTAAGTAACGTGATGGAGCTGTGGATGACCATGCTCACTGCAGGGGAGGTGGAGAAGATGACCTTTAAGGTCCCATCCAACTCTAAGTATTCTGTGATTCTTTCTTACACTTCTGCAATACACTACATGAAAGTACAGCAGAGTTCCAGGTTAATGCTTTGTGTCTTGGGCAAAGAACACTCCCCTTTTTGTGTCAAATCAATTTTGTTCTCGCTTAAATCTTTTAGATTGTAAAAACAAATATTTGATCCATGTCATGCAATCAGAAAACTAGGAACAGATAGAAAACTAATGCTTAATAGAATTAAAGATGAAAAAGAACTATAAACAAGGCTATTTAAAATATTGCAACTAACATTCAGATCTACTAAATAGGTTTCATCTGGAAAAACTTTAAAGAGACAAAATACAAAGTGACGCCATTGAAAATAAAACTCACATAACAGGTGTATATGAAACTTCTGCATGAAAGTTGGTTTTTTTCCTCCTTAATTTAATAAAACATGATGTTCTGAAGGAAACTAAGTATCAGGTTTACCTGCTGAAATGCCTACTCAGTGGTAGTCTCCCAACATCTTGGATGGAAGCAATCTCAGCTGAAGAAAAAAGGAGCTCCAGTATCACAATGGGTGGATTGCAAAGCACAGATGATTAAAGACACTGGAAAATAAATAATTCATAAGTTAACTGGAGTGGTCCTGTATATATTTGAATAATTTCGTATACAAAATCAGTTTATATCTACTTGTGCCTATCACCAACCCATATTTATAGATACCAAGATATAGATATAGATACCAACACATACTTATAGATTGCCCCCACAGAATAAAGAATCGACTGTGTATTTAGATATAGTTATTACTGCATAGCCTGCATAATGCATTCACCTGGATGATTAGACCTTAGCTAAAAGTCTTGTGAAGACCTATACAAAGTCTTTTATTGCAAGTAGTTAACACAGCAAAGGTAACCCAGCAGTCTGAACAGCGACTTCTGGCTTACATACATATTACCAATACTACATATTTACTAAAAGTCTTCTGAATGAAACATCTGCTTACTACTGGACTGCCTCACATTACACATTCTTTTAAATGCACTGCAAGCGTTGACTTTTTTATACTCTATCTGAGTGTACTTTATCTAAGTATAAAAATAAGTATAAAAATTATCAGATAAAAGCCTTTATCTGAGAAAGGCTTTTTAAAGCGTTTTAAATTGCTTGACAGAGATCAGTGAGCAGTAAGGTCTAGCTAAAAGAGTTTACCAGATTTCCAAAGGGCTTCTAATTATGTCTCAGGCACTTTTAAAAGAAGCTTTAGGCTTGAAAGAACGACTTAATTAGTAAAGCCTGATCAATTATTAATAAATATGAAAGGGACTGAGTGGGTAGGGGTGAGTTAATGGTTAACTCCTGCAGTGGAGGAAAGATGCCAATACAGTTCTGCAGAGATCTGTCCTATAATGTGGATTGTCCAGCAGAGGTGTATGAGGGCTGCACTGAAAGTAATGCCTGCCATTTTATTATAATGGCTCACAACCAATGAATGCTGGCAGTATGGCAACAGAGGTTGAAGCTTCCCACCAATATTCCATTCCATCCCACATTGTTGCCATGTGTCAGATGGCAGCAGAGGAGCAGTCTGAAAAACAGCACCTGACATGGAAGAGCATATGGAGCAAAGTGTGGAGTTGAAAACTGCATGTCTTGAAGCTTGCACCCACTGATATCTAACAATCCTTGCTGAACCCTTATGGAGACCAGCAGTGGTGACAGACAAGCCACCCTCTGGACAGCTGCACAAATCAGCTGATGATTGTGACTACACTGAAAAACAGTACTTCATATCTGAGAAGTTGCTCTATCAAAGCGCTCTTGTGCTCTTTGTATCTTTTCTACCCTCCGTGGAAATAAGTAGAAGGCCTTTTTTTAGGAGTAACCCACAATGTTAATACCAAAATGCTATATAAGAAACTAATAGAAAAGTGAATTTAGAGAGGCTGAATGCATCAAATGCAGATTTTTTAATAGCAGAAAGGTGGACAGTGTTTTGGAGAACTGTAAAGGCAGACAGAGTAGTGAGCAGTAAAACAACCTTTTAGCTCCTACAGGAGACAGAACACGTGTAGAGCTGCACCATCACCTTTGGGAACAGACAAGCACCAAACATAACTATATATCACTGTGCAAGAAGCAATTTTGCTTTTGCAGAAAGCAACAAACATCTACCTACCTTTTTGTACGTGACAGCATATGAACCCAGTGCAAGTACAGTTACCTAATTTTATCACGCAGTTGTGCATTATTTACCCAGTAGATGCAGACAGCTGCAATCATAGTTACCACAAACAATTATTACTGTTTTTATACTGTTATTAATGATCATATACGTGAATTAGAGGTTACCTTAAGTCTTACTTCAGCAAACATAGATATTAGCAGCTGACATTCTTTTCCCACTGAAAATAAAGAGCAAACCAAGGTTTTCTTAATTATTTTCCCCAGAACAGAGAACAGACCCAGAGCAGTGTGTCAGCTGACAGCACTTCTGGAAACCAAGGCTCACTCTTTCTCCAGATAAACCTATGCCAATTCTAGCAGAGCAGAACGTGGTTCACCGGTAGATGTTATCAAACTGATATCGTTGGAAAAACTGGGAAAGCTTTTGTACTTGGAATTCTGAAGAAGGGCTTGAGTGCCTTAAAGTACATACCACCCATTTAACAAAACACTTTACCTCTGAATTCCAATCCATGAGCAGTATTTGTGCTTCGACCATCACTTTTAAGACAAAATATAATTCTGGCAAAGACAGAGGCAATAATTTAATAATGATGCAAGAGATTGCTTTACTAATACTAAATACTAAATAGTATACTAATAGTATACTAATACTATACTAATAAGTATATATATAAGTAATATATATATATTGTATTATATATTATATTTATTATATATATTATATTATATATATAAGTAATATATATATTACTTATATATATATTTATTATATATATAATATATATAATATATAAGTAATATATATAATATATAAGTAATATATAAGTAATACTATACTAATAAGTATATATACTAAACTATATATACTAAATATATATACTAAATACTAAATACTAATTTAGTATTATATACTCAATACTAAAAAGATGCAACTGTTAGCTGTTACATCTTAAATGCTTATTTGGAAAAACAACATCAAGAAAAGGATGAGTTCACCAACAGCAAAACTGTGATTCTAACCTTGTCAAATGGCTTTTATTAACTGAAATTCAAATCTCTGGATGACTGTGATCTGCTCATCAGGAGCTACATTGTTTAGGCACAGCACAGTAATTAGACAGTCAGCAGTTTGAGCTGTCTGTCTTTGGCACGGTGATGATGCCTCTTCAGAAAAAGAAGTGGAAAAGAAACAATGGGAAATGCTTCTTACATCCCTTGAAGAAGCTGAACATCCATGGAACTATGGGAGTATTTTGACGAGAGCTTCATCTGAAATTAGACAGCAGCACTGATTTTTATTCAATTTTTTGAAACACTGTTTTTTTGGTTTTTTTTTGTAGCACCGCAGCTCCTCTGCATTAGATGTTAGAATGCTGACTCCTATTTCTATTTCAAGCCTATATTGATCTACAGATGGTTCACTAACGGGATGACATGCACAACACAGTGCTGTACCTTCTGAACCACAACATCATTTACAAAGCCTCAGTTACGTTTCTGTAATTGGAATCAGGATGAGCTCTCACTGGTAATTTGCTAAGTTTTTATCAGTACTCTGAGAAAAAAATTGAACGCTGACAACATTTTTTCACCCAGAGGGTGGTGAGGCACTGGAACAGGTTGCCCAAGGAGGCTGTGGATGCCCCATAAAATCATAGAATGGCTTGGGTTGAAAAGGACCACAATGATCACCCAGTTTCAACCCCCCTGCTATGCGCAGGGTCACCAACCAACAGACCAGGCTGCCCAGAGCCACATCCTTGGCCTCGTGTTTCTTGAACTTACCTTGTAGACCTCCTTGTTTGCAGTAGCAGAAAGCCCCGCGTACACCAGTCCGATGGCTTACTGTATTTAATGATTGTGATTTCAGGTTTCCACTAACAATCTCTTAGAAGGAATGGGAGAAGACAAGGTTTTCTGAATCCGAAATGTATTCCAGTACTTTTGCTATGACACAGGAGCACTGGGTGCTTGAAATAGCCATGTTATAGTTTTAGAAATGGATTTCTTTCCTGAAGTCTATGACTCTTTATGTCCTTTCCCAAAGAAACTGGTGAGCACAAATTTGGATCCAAGCAGACGCTGGGACACTGCTGAGCTGGACAGTAGCTCTAGGTCACAAAGATCACTTGCTGGGATCAAACCTGTTAATAAAGCCTTGGTTTTTAAGGTGGAGGATCCCTGCAGGCGTTCAAGGCCAGACTGGATGTGGCTCTGGGCAGCCCGGTCTGGCGCTTGGTGACCTGCACGTAGCAGGGAGTTGGAACTGGATGAGCACTGTGCTCCTTTGCAACCCTGGCCATTCTATGATTCTGTGATTCTATGATTTGAACGTATGAACAGAGGTGCTAGAAAGATTAACGAGTCCAAATTAAGCGAGAAGCACGAGACTGCAATACAGTTCCCTACCCCTAACCCTTCCAGCCCTTGTTCAATTTGTTGCTTCAACTTAAAGTAAGCCCTAAGCACCGCAGATCAGGTCGGCAGCCCTTCCCCGCCGCTCCGAAGCCGCCCAGTACCACAGCGCTCGGCCGGCGCAGGCGCAGTGCGCGCGGCAGTGCCGGCGTTCCCGCGCGGATGGCGGCGCCGCATCACGCAGGTGCGGCCGGGTGGGGCGGCGCGGCGCAGGTGCGGCGGGGAGGGCCGTTCCGCCGCGGGTCATGTCGCGGAGCGCCGCGTCGTCGCCCTCCGGGGCCGGGGCCGCCGCCCCCCTCCCGCCGCCTCCGCTGCCGCTGCAGCCGCCCTTCGGTCCGGACGCGGGTCCCGGAGGCGGACGAGCCGAGCTGAAGCCGGTGCGGCGCTTCATCCCCGACTCGTGGAAGAACTTCTTCAAGGGGAAGCGCGGCCGCGGCTCGGGCTGGGACGGAGCGACGTCCGACGTCGGGTTCGTGTCGGACGGGACACCGTGCTCGCCGCCCGCCTCTCCCGGCCCGCCGCGGGCGCGGCCCGGCCGCTCCGCAGAGCGGTGCGAGGGGTCGGGCGGCAGCTGCCGCTCGCTGGAGGCCGAGGCCATGCTGCGCGGGGACTCGTCGGGCGCGCCCACTGGCATGACGTACGAGGAGCAGGTGGAGGCCTACCGGCAGCGCTACGCCTACATGAAGTCCTGGGCCGGGCTGCTGCGGCTGCTCGGCGTGGCCGAGCTGCTGCTGGGCGCCGCCGTCTTCGCCTGCGTGACCGCCTACGTGCACAAGGACAACGAGTGGTACAACGCCTTCGGCTACTCGCAGCCCTACGGCTACGACGCTTCCTACGGCGGCTATTACTACAGCGGGCCCAAAACGGCCTTCGTGCTGGTGGTGGCCGGCGTGGCGTGGATCGTCACCATCGTGCTGCTGGTGCTCGGCATGTCCATGTACTACCGCACCATCCTCCTCGACTCCAGCTGGTGGCCGCTGACCGAGTTTGGCATTAACGTGGCCATGTTCCTTCTGTACATGTCCGCCGGCATCGTGTACGTCAACGACGTCAACCGAGGGGGACTCTGCTATTACCAGCTGTTCAAGACGCCGATGAATGCCTCTTTCTGCCGTGTGGAAGGAGGTCAGACGGCAGCCATCATCTTCCTGTTTGTCACGGTGGTCATCTACCTGATTAGCGCCTTGGTTTCTCTGAAGCTGTGGAGGCACGAAGCAGCCAGGAGGCAGAAGGAGCAGATGGAACGAGAGGTGGGTCGTGGGGGTCCTTTTGGTGGGCACAACTGTAAGGTCTGCTGTATGGCCCTGAGCCTTGACAGAATCACTGGGTGGCCCGGGTGGGAAGGGACCTCAAGGATCATGAAACTTCAACTCCCCTGCCACATGCAGGGCCACCACCCTCCACATTTAGTGCTAGACCAGGCTGCCCAGGGCCGTGTCCAATCTGGCTTTGAACACTTCCAGAGACAGGGCATCACCTTTGGGGCTGAGCCATCAACCTCAGTCACGGACAAATGACAAGTGTTATGAAGATGTGACCCAGAGTCTTTTTGGAAAGGAACAGGTGTTTTTTGGTGGAATACTGCATTCTCTACAGGCATTGTGTGATGAAGTACTTCCGTGTGTGTGTGTGTGTGTGTGTGTGTGTGTGTGTATTCCAAACAAAGGAAAATCCAAATCATGTGCCTGTTGAGGTTTTTAGCAGGGTTGGGCTTAAAGACAACTCATTTGTTTGGAGACCACATTCTCAGCATGTGGACTGCTATTGCGAATGACAGCAAGAATGTAAAATACTGGTTAGCATTTTGAAGTAAAAATCCAAGTGGTTCTTGTCTATTCAGTATTTACTTGTCTAACTGTGTTTACAGTTGTACCAGATAATCACTCAGAGGGTGGTGAGGCACTGGCACAGGCTGCCCAAGGAGGCTGTGGATGCCCCATCCCTGCAGGCATTCAAGGCCAGGCTGGATGTGGCTCTGGGCAGCCTGGGCTGCTGGTTGGCGACCTGCACACAGCAGGGGTTGGAACTGGATGAGCACTGTGCTCCTGTGCAACCCAGGCCATTCTGTGATTCTCTGATAACAACAGTGATGAGAAAGCTGGTGTCTCAGTTCTGTTATTTCATCTTTTCACTTAATCTGTTTTGCGTTGTTGCTGGCCTTGTCCCTACTAAAACCACTCAATACCCACATAGTTAATGATAAACTGTCATAACGCTGCCAACCAGGGCATTTGAAGCCAATTGCATAAAACTTCTTCCATGGGAAAGCGCTCTGAAAAGCTGCTAAAAATCATTAAAAGATAAAAATACACATGTGAAGTTTACAAAAACCTGCCTTAAGTAATTGTTTACCTTAAGTAATTGTCAGCATTTAAATGCAAGAAGCTCCATTCCATCTGCTTTATGGTTGTATTTCTGTTGATTTTCAGCACTTTATTTTAATGTTGGTTTCCTTACCAAGATCTTGCATAGAACTTGAGACTCACTTTTAGGAAAGTGAATTGTAGATGTGTGAGACTAGCTAGTTTTCAGCCGGTTTTTAAATACATCCTGCAAGAATGAAGTGATTTGCCTGTTGCTATTCATGTTATTTTATTCTAGTTACTTAAGAACGTTTTTGAAGTTAACATTTCTATCATATAAACTAGGATCAAGAGAGTGCTGTGCAGAAGAGTAGCTGGTTGGTTACTGGTTAGTTCACCGCTGTGTTTTCTAGGCAATGAGCTAAGCTGCATGAATCACTGGAATATGAAATTTAAAGGTGATTGAGAAGTGGTTGGAGTATTTCCTCCCTGTTCCTTTCGACTGTGCTACTGAACATCTTGTTCTGGGATTTCAAACATCTTAAAAATGCTTGATCTGAAAACATTCTTTTGCTAAATATGTTCATTATTTATTATAAAGACATAAGAATATCTACAGCTTGGCTCAAAATTTATATTAAGTATCTGTGCTTTTTGATTTGCTGTTTAAAATAAAACTTAACGTTCTGTGTGTTTTGTTTTTGTTTTTTTTTTTTTGACAGATGAAAACACAGGTGTCTTTACCAGACAGAAAGGTAGGAAGCAAACTCGTTTTTCTGTTTATTGGTATTCCCAATTGCACGCTCTTTTTTTCTTGTGACTCCTTGTTTTGACTACCTTTTTTCATTAGTTTTTTTTTTCGTTGTTGTTTTCATTGGAAAAGATGAGGTTTAGTTCTGTAGTAGTAATCAGGAGAGCATTCTCTTGCTCACAGGATGTGGAAGAAGACTGTGAAGAGGTTAGTGCTAGTTCATCTTGGTTTTAAGATTTACTGTTGACAGCATGTGCTTTTAGTTTGTTTCATTAATTGATGAGTTCTGTAGTCTTTATCATAGAATTTTGCAGGCATGGTTATAGCAGCAAAGCATCTGCTGCATTACAGGATTTAGGGTTTAATTTTTTCCTTTTGGCTTCCTGTTAAAGTGGAGAGGGGCCAGTGGGAGCTCATTGTTAGGTTTGAGATTTGAGTTTACTGCTGTTATTCTATGACTACTCCAAGACTCTCTTACAAGCTTTGAAATACCAACAAAATAAGGATTCTTGTGCTGCTGCACAGATCTGCAGGTGCACATGCTAAGAAGCTTGGGCAGGATTTTAATGCAGTAGGCGTTGATGATTTCCAGAAAACTTATGGAGTATTTCTTTCAGACTTAAATGTTTCCCTTTAAATACTGTGAGCATCCTGCCACTGTCTTTTCTGTTGCTTACTTCAGTGCTTTGTTTGACATCACTCCTGTATCAAGGATTAAATTGTAGAATTGGAAGTAAGGCTAAAAGGGATTTCTGTAGAACAGGGTGATTCATGTTTATCCACAAATGAAACGGATATCCAGAAAACTTCCATAAACTGTTTTTTAAGATGCGGGGGACAAATCCTTTCAAGACCCAAGTAAGTATTTGACTGTCTCTGGTACAGATATCACGTTCAATGCCAAGAATATTAGAACAAACTGAAGAAAGGTAACCATTTTAAATTCTTAACTGTGCAACTCTTTCCTGATTTTCTAACTATAGTAAAGTATGTAAAGAATGTATGTGATTTACTTATGCTGCTGCTTAGAACTCTTATCTCTGTCTTAACTGCATACTTTACAGAACTTGTGTTTTGCATTTGAATAAAATCTCATTTTAACTGGGACAATATTTTTTCTTTTCAAACGTAGAGTGCTGACAGTGACAACGCACCGAAAGAAGAGGTCACTTACAGGCAGCTTAAATCAGTGGAAAGGAAACCAGAACTACTTAATGGTCATATCCCTGCAGGCCACATTCCTAAACCTATAGTGATGCCAGACTACTTAGCGTAAGTGACTTAAGTTTGTTTATCAAAGTCAGTACTGTTAATTGACTCGTTTTTTTTTCAAGCAGCATTTCTCTTATTCATGTGCTGCAGAAACTTAAAATTCTTTATCAATGCCATAGACACAGTAATATAAATAAGCTGAAACTTAACAAACAAACAACCCTAAAACCCTACCCAACATTGGAACACACTGTTAGAATCTGGCATGTAATTACCAAAGGAACAGAAGATGCAGGCAATATTCATGGGAAATTTCTTAGTTTTTTAGTTCTATAAATTTGTCTAATCTTGTGTGAGTGCTAAATTGATAATATCCCTTTTAAAGGGTAGGCTTTCCACGTTATCCACAATCTGTTTTGATTGTCATTTCCAAGATAGAGTGGGTGGCAACCCTGCCCAGTCTAGAAGGGTTGAAACCAGATGTCCTTTAAGATGTCTCCAACCTAAGTCTGTGATTCTGTGGTGAAGTATAAAATAAATTGATTTATATACTATTTGGCATGTATTTCAGTGGTTCAGATTTGGGACAGCTTCAGCAATTATGAGATGGGCAAACATTACAGAAACACTTTACTGATGTCAAGACTGTGTGCTTGTTGAAGTCTGATGTCTAATACTAGCCACTGAATATTTACTTATTTTAAAGGAAATACCCAGCAATTCAAACAAATGAAATGCGAGACCGGTATAAAGCAGTGTTCAATGATCAGTTTGCCGAGTACAAAGAGCTGTCTGTGGAAGTCCATGCTGTGTTAAAAAAGTTTAATGAGCTGGAAGCGTTGATGAGACAACTTCCTCAACATCCTGGAAGCATATATGTGAGTACCTGTGGAAAAAAAGGGCTGATGGAAAGCGTGCAGCTTCTAACTTTCATTGGTTAATGACTGGTGACATTGGCAGTGGCTCAGTAGGAGAGGGAATTTTTCTCAAATATGCTGTTTCTTATTTGGTCATCCATCTAGAATGCAATGATATTGTATATGTATTTGTATTTTTGTTTGTTTGTTTTTTTCACGTTGTTAGCTTTCTAGTTTGAATAAAGCAAAGTTAACTTGTTTTCACTGTTTCTTAAGTACAGAAAGTACAACTAAAGCCAGAAAAGATTTAATCAGCTGAGAGATTGACTTTTGAGAAGTATTTTGTAGAGTTTATGTGAGTGTGTTTAAACGTGTGTGATATCTCTCCACAGGAGCAGGAAAGGATATCAAAAGTTCTGCAAGAATATGAGAAGAAGAAAAATGTGAGTGTTTTCAGCTTTACATTGCTGATTAATCTAAAGAACAACAAATGAAGTGTAAATAGACAGCACTTCTGATAGAAATTTGCTACCTTGGGGTACCCCTAGCTATTGCAGGGCTTCGTATATATTGTATTTTAAATCTTTGGCAAAAGGGTGATGCCGCCTTCACTGTTCATGCCAATAACCTTTTTTGGAGAGTGCTTCTATTAGCCAGCTGAGGAATAAAATAGTTAAGTATTTCTGTCTTTTAACATTGTCATTTTAAAGGTCTGTTCACTTCTTGGGGTAGAGTTTGTTCACATTCACTAGCTGACGTGGATGTCAGATACATTAACAGAAAGGTAGTCTTACACTTAAAAAGTATTTTTCTTCTTTCTTTTTGGCAGCTTGAAACTTGAGTAGACTTCCAAAAAGTCATTTCCAGCATAATGCAAAGAGTTTCACTTGGTCAGTTTTAAGTGCAGGCAGTAAACGTGTACCTGTGTTCTTTCAAAGCGTCACCCGTTCAAGTAACTGTTCTTTTTAATTAAATTTGAGTTGTGTCCATGTGAACTAACTTCGGTTTCTTTTTTGAAGAGGTATTTATTAGATGTATCAGAACCCATATATTAAATAAAAAGTACGTAGTAGAATGTAGTTTACATTTGCAGGCTTTTTTTAAAAAACTGCTCTCTTTCTTAAATAGCCGCAGTAGTGTATTAAAGCAGGACTTCTTTCTGTAGCCCTCCATGAAGGAAGAAGAAACAGGCAACAACAAGTCATGGTCAAAGAAAAAAAGTATTATTCTGGCAAATAGTTATATGCTGTCCTTAGTCAAGAACATGCTTGATAATAGACTACTGCTGGATAAAACTGAAAGCATAATTATTAATGTAAGAATTTGTGTTTTCTTGGCAGGATCCTGCATTTCTGGAGAAAAAGGAACGTTGTGAATACCTAAAGAATAAGCTTTCTCACATAAAACAGCGAATTCAGGACTATGATAAAGTTATGAACTGGAAAGTACAAATTTAGCAATGCCTTGAGCTTGACTACAATATTTTTCTAGTTTTTAAATCAATAAGTGTATTGTAAAATATTTATTTACTCTCAGATCTGTGTACTTTCAGTGGGGATAACAGCTACCTGATCACTTCATCACTTCACTGTGTGTTGTATGTTACTGATAGGTTTTATGTGCAGGTTCAGTTACAAATCTGTGTAATGAAGTTGTCAGATATGTTTAGAATACCAGTGTTTTATTTGACAAGCTGGGGAGTCCACAAGAGAAGGCAGTTCTAAATACTGCATCAAAAGTGTGCGTGCAAATTCTGTATCAAGGATGCAGATGACGTCAGAATGATATCAGAAGGAGTTGCATTGTTCTCTGTGGCTGGGGTTTGGTAATTTGATCACACTGAGGAGTTTCAGCAGGTAGGAAATGAAGTGTATGAGGTGGCTGTATTTTCAAATACACCGTTGTATGTTAGAAATTACTGGGAGTAAGTTCCTATGTAAGCAGTGATCGTATGCTGTTTTTTGTTTTGTTTTTATGCTCCTCTGTAGAGGTGATGCAACTTAAAAGTGGCCTTAAAAGTGACCATATAAGTGACCTTAGCAGAAGAGTGGCATTGAGTGAGAGTCATGTTTAGTGTTCCACTAGTGTTGCTGTAGACCAGGATGATCTGCATTATTTTGGGGACGTTTTAGTAGGCTTTGACTGGGTTAAAGAAGGAGTACTTCTCTTTGTCAGCAGGGAGCTGGACTTTCCGCTTTAGCTCACTTTAAGATTGTGTAGATGTTGCTGTTTGTGAACTTCTTATTCAGTGCAGTACAATGAAATTAATTCTCAAAATAGAAATTATTAGCATCTTTTATAAGCCGAGGAGTATTTTGTTTTCTGGAGTTTATCTTTATAAATTCAATATAACTTTTCTTCTGTGTTGGGGTTACAGGTTTATATATGCAAATTTTCACATAAGCCAGTGAATTTTCTCTTTTTATACTTTTTCACATCTTTTTAAAAAGCTTTTTACATAGTAAAATTGCTGGAAGCATTGATAGTTTCCTTGTACAGGTTTATATAATTGCAAATGGACTATTTTTTTGAAATGTGTTTTAGTTTCATTAAAAAAACGAAACAACCTAACGATGTTAATCCATTACTTATATAATCATTTCACTGTTAAAAAAAATTGCCCCTGTTGCTCAGTATTGAAAACACATTAATACACCTAACTCTGGGATTTATTTCTGGTTTGATTTTTGAGCTCTTATCGTCATTTATGTTGCAATCTTGAGCTTTTATTCATTTTCATACTTAAAAAATTGACTTTACAGTTTTATCAGCCACTTGTGTGTTTTATACCTGCTGTAGCATACGTATTCTAAAGAACAGGTTTTTCTTTGTAAGCTTCTTGTCCAAGTCCCTTCAATCTAAATTTCCTTTTGCCATATGCTTGGCTTTTTTTGTCAGTGGAAACTCAAGGCTTTGCTTCTGTAGCAGAAGTCTAAGCATAAGGAACTTCTTGTAACATGTTGTAAACAGTTGATGGCTCTGATTTTTTTTATTTTTATTTTTTTGGTGAAATCATAGAATTTTTGGGCTGCAGGAGACTTCTGAAGATCACCAAGTCCACTCCCCTGCCATGGATGGGAACACATTTCATTACATCATGTTAATAAAAGCACCATCCAGCCTGCCCTCGAACACTCTCAGGGATGGAGCATCCACAACTTCTCTGGGCAACCTGCTCTAACCACCCTTCTAGTAAATAATTTGTTCCTCATGTCTGGTCCAACTCTGCTGTGTTCTAGTCTAAAAGAATTATATCTTCTTCTGTCTCTGCAGGTATAAAGTTTTTCTTCCTCTTTTTTTTTAGCCCCCTTTATGTATTGAAACACTATAGTAACATCTCCTTATAGCCTTCTCCAGGCTGAACAACCACAGATTGCAGCCAGTGTCCATTACAGGAGGTGCTCAAGCGCTCTGACCATCTTCACGACCCTCCTCTGGACCTCCTTAACAGCTCTGCATCTTTCTTGTGTGGGAGCTCCCAAACCCAGGTGTGATGTTCTAGGTGAGGTCTCAGAAGGTCAAATAAGAGTGAGACTACAAATTTTCTCAGTGTGCTAGATGTAATAACTTTTAAATACAGCCAAGAATGTACGTACGTATGACTGACTTCTTGGGCTGCAAGCCGAGAACATTGCTGGTTCATAACCAATTTTTCATCAGCCGCTGTCTTCAAGTCCTCTCTACAGGGCTGCTCTCAAACAGTTCTTCCTCACATCTGTGCAGGTATTGGGGATTGCCCCGACCCAGATGCAGCACCTACTGAACTTTGTGAGGTTCACATGGGTGTATTTATTGTGTCATTGTCCCTGCGTGTAGCATCCTTTTCCTCTAGAGCGTCATCTGCAATCTTACTGGGGATGCACTCAATGCCACTGTCATTCATGAAGATGCCTTACGGTGTTGCTCCCTGCACAGACTCATGAAGGACAGCACTTGTTCCTGGTTTCAGTTTGGACTCTGTTGACTCTAACCCCTAGGTCACCCAACAAATACATACCTCTCCAAGTTAGAGGCAAGAGTGTCTGAGGAGAGGAGCCTATCAGGGCCTTTTGAAAGATTCTGTGCCCCCAGTGGACCTTTCTGCCATGAGAACAGTGGGTTGTATTTTCAGCCTCCCTTTGAAAGTGATCTGAGTTTCAGTTTCTGAGAAACTTGCTTCTGGACCTTCAGACAGTATCTGTATAACCTCTGCAGAACTATTGTGCTTCTCTTCCTGCCCATTTTCCAACACAGATTTCGGAGAAATCAAGATTCATGCAATAAGAATTAGTTGCTGTGAGCTTAAACCAATCAAGTGTAGGATAGAAAGGAGAAGTAAATTTAGTGAGAACTAGTGAGAATTGTGAGAAGTGGTCTTTTGATGGTCTTAAAGGAAAAAAGGCAAAGTTACTAGATGATTATTGCCTTGGTCTGTCTGTGCAGTCTCTTCAGTTTCACCTTTATGATCTACCTGGTTGCATGTACATCTAGAAAGTCTGCTCTGTGACCTGAATAGCATGATTGCTGTGCTTAATAAATGGCTCTATGCATTTTTGCACAAATGTCTTATGCCTTGAGATTAATGAATAAGATGGTGTCTAATAAATGTAATCAAGAGTTGGCATAACATAGTATGGTTGGCTAGCTTTAACAACAACGTAGCAACTGCAAGTACTGGTGCTAATGAAATACCTAATGGATTTGGTTTTGAATTTTTAATTTCATAATTCAAAAATTACGATGGGATTTGAAACATGTGAACACTCACAGTTTGCTCTTATGTCAAGCATTCCTGTCTGGAACTTAGGTTCTTTCCCATGACAATAAAAGACATCCCTGTTCTGAAAGAAGCCTTATTTCTACTTTTTTTTTTTTTACTAATCATATTGGCTTATGCCCGTTTTTTCCATTTCAACACTTTATAAATTGGACTTTGTAAGAAAGTCTGGCATGTGACTGCTGGAAACAAATTTTCTTAGAATTAACAATTATTTCTTTTTTTCATCTTCAGTAGTTTTCACTACTTTTGTCTAAATGTCACAGATTTTTCTTGTCTGTAGTTTAACTGAAAATAATTTAGTTTTTCCTACATTTTCCCCACTGTTAATGTTTCTCCTGATATATGCAACAGTGTGAAAGCGCAAAGTTTCCCACTCCTGTTTATGGAAATGTTTCTTATGTTTAAATGTTTTCTTCCTCAGTTCTTGTCTTACTCAGATGCAGAGTGGCACGCCTTAAAAACGGATGCTTGGTGACTTTCCTGTAATTCAAAAGGTCAAACAGTCTTGGCACGTTTCCATTGTGCTCAGCGATGCTGTGATTGCTCTGCTGAGAAGCTGCTTACAGTGACCTTCGCTTTATTGAGGTGCTCTTTGTGTTGATGCTTCTGAAAATCTGGGTGAGCTGAGAGTACCTGCTTGTCTCAGTCCTGAGTAGATTGGATCAAGCTAATGCAGCTAAAACAAGTGTGCCACATCATTTTTAATGATGACAATAAATACAGTGCAAGCTTGCTGTTAAGGGATCAATTAATTAAAACTGAAAGAGCTTGAACTTATATAAATTGTGTAGTTTTTAATGTATTAATGAGTAAACTAATGTTGCAGAGGATCTGGGCGCCAGATACTTGAGATGGGAACAAGAAACAAACGAAATCAAGAGAACATGGGTTTTCAGAGCATTTTGATTCAGTTTCACACATTCCTTTATTACAACTATGTATTTATTACTGATAGGACATACTTTGTTAACAGTATTGGAGTTTTGAGCTCTGCTTGAAAACATCTCTTTTACACTGGTTGTAAAGTATTGCACAGTAAGCGTGCGCATGCTGCATAAAGACGCTTGCTTTTGCTGATGCTTGTTTTGTGTTGATTCCAGATTTTGCAGTTCAGTTAATACTGAAGTAAGACTAGGAGAAACAGTTCTTTCAGAACTGAAGTCCTGGAGAAGAAACGCTCAGGAAGATTTCTGACTGCACGCATGGAGCCTGGAGAAGATTGGCTGCTGTATGCTGGCTGCCTGTTCGTCCGCACGTAGGGTAGTTTGTAAACTGTGCTCAAACGACATGCTTTCATTTCGTACGCTTTACGGAACAGAACTGCGTTTGTTTCTGTAGGAACCCCCTGGCACGTAGCCGCTGGGAGGAACGAAGGGCGCGCGTGGCGGGCGCAACCGGAGTCTAATGACTGCGGCACCGGGAGGGGCCCAGCGGCGCTTCCGGCCCAAGAGGGGGCACTTCCGGCGAGAGGAGGTGCGTGTGCGTGTGTCCGCCGCGCTGCAGCTGTGCCCAACCGCCGGCAGCGGACCGGCTGTGTCGGAGCGGCGCCGCGGCCATGGACGACGAGCCCGAGAGGACTAAGCGCTGGGAAGGAGGCTACGAGAGGACGTGGTAGGTTTTCGTTTCCGTGCCTCGCTTCGCTGTCGGCGCAGGACGAGGAGAGCCTTCAGGTGCTCAGCGGGAATCTCCCTTTTCCGTAGGGAAGTACTGAAGGAAGATGAATCCGGGTCGCTGAAAGCAACCATCGAGGACATCCTCTTCAAGGCGAAGAGGAAAAGGTACGGTGCCGCACCCCAGCCCTGGTCCTGTCGCTGCTGGGCTCGGTGTCCCTTGCGGCGATCCGAGCCGGGCGGCGTGGGTCTGCTTCTAAAACCCGCCGAGAGTTTTTGCGGAGGGCGGAGGTTCTGTGTCACATTGCCCGGAGAACAGCTAGATTAAAAGCCTGGGCTTGCTTTGCTTCAGATTACGTCAAAACAACCAGTGTCATGTGAAATTGTAAAGACGAACCTCCTGGCAAGAACTGTGTGCAGTTCATTGGGTTTTCTTCTGTTTGTTTAAAACGCACACAGTCAGACCGTGATGAAGGGTTGATTGCAGTCTCACCTTTTGCCTTTTCTCAGTGGAAATGCACATCCATGGCTCGTGGGTGCTTTTTATTTGCCAAAGGCCCAATATTGGGTTAGTTCCAGACTTTGTTTCAGCCCCCATTCCTTCACTTGCATCTTACTTGAAACTTTCTGTATGTTTTGTCAGAATCTACGAACACCATGGACAAGTCCGGCTGGGAATGGTACGTCAACATCCTGTGGCCATCCTGAGCACACAGCAGATTCAGCAGAGGTGGCATGCCCAACCTGAAGCAGCTTGTGCTGACTAGATGTGCTTGAGAGCAGAGCTTGCACCTTCTCTCTGTTTTCTGAAGGCAGCAGGGTGGGCTGTGGAGCACCAGTTTGGTGTGTGTGCAGAGTGCACCTCACAGATGCAGCCAGCCAGTGCGTGCTTAACGATGGAGTTTTCTCCGTGTGAGAAATGAATAGCTTTCATGAATTGCAGATTACAGCATTGCTTCATGCAACACCAAGGTCTTCTAATAAAGACATTAAACAGGTGCAGACTATTTGTAGCTGGCCTGCAGAGGAAAAGAGCAGTGAATGTTTTTCAAGATAGATGAATGTTCCATTTCAGAGGTGAAATGGAAAAATGCTAAAACTTGCTCCTTGTGTTAAAGCATAAGCCTGCAGCAGAGTTAATGTTTGTGGTGATAATGCAGATGCGTCACCTTTATGTGGTTGTTGATGGATCAAGAACTATGGAGGACCAAGATTTAAAGCCGAACAGACTGACTTGCACTTTGAAGGTATTTCTGTACTCAAAATTCACTTCTTTATTAACCCGCTCTTTTTCTGTAAATCGCTTCCATTTTGCATTTAAAACAATGGCAGTCTCCTGCAACCAGGTTTCTTACGCAGCCTCATCTCTCCTCTCAGACTTTTTTTCCCTTGTTTCTGTTGCTGACCAATGATTTTCCTGGGGTAGTTTACTTTCCCTTTTTTGAATTGTAAAAGCTGTGTAACTTCAGAATGCGTTGCAGGAGCACTTCTATACAGCAGAGGCAGTGGAAGTCTTCAGCAGTGTAGAAACTAAGGTGCAGTGATGGCAGTGATATTGGATTGAAGAACAGACATTGAACATTACACATTTAACAGCCTTTTGTTCTTGGGACTCTGGTTTGAATAATGATAGGAGTTTGTATTGCTGCTTCAGGTGGTAAACTTCTAACTTGATCTGTCCACGCAGTGTTATTAGTGAAAGATCATATAATACAAAGCATTAAAATCCTGAGTTTTGAAGATTTTTTACAGATTAATGCTTTTTGGTATGTCTTTGAAGTAACATAATACAGAGCTTCAGCATATGAAGTGAATGAAATGAAAGACTGCTAGTGTCTGGTATTGATTTGCATAGGTAGCACTGGAAGAAGAATGGAAGAGCTTGGGCAAAGGGCAACAAATGACAGGGACAGGCTTATTTCCCCCTCCCTTATTTTTTTCATTGAACGAACTGTTTTCCAAATACTGTAGCAGCAAATTATTACACATGGAGCAACACTGTATTTAGTTTTTAACAGTCTCATTTTTTTCCTTCTAGTTACTGGAATATTTTGTTGAAGAATACTTCGACCAAAATCCTATTAGTCAAGTGAGTGGAACCATGCAAGAAACAGCGTCCTGGGCAGATTTTTACCTGTTTGATTCAGCAACAATTGAAGATGTATTAAATACTTCTGTAGTAAATCACAGGATTAGACTGTGTGATTGTTAATAGCACTTAATCAGCACTTTATCATCAAAGATCGCAGCCTGCTGCAGTCCTGCCAGCCTCAAGGGGTTCCCTGCTTAGGATCACTATTGTAGGGCCTCAAGATGATTGACTTGTGTCAGTAATGTTCCATTCTGGCCGCAGTTCAGGTGAGGTCATTCTGGAGCTTTTCAGCCATGATAGAATTTCAGAGTGAAGATTCTGGTAGCTCTTAGATGAGGTCATAAGGCAGGCAGCAGGAATTCCAGGTGTGGTCAGGAAGTTCCTGACTATCCTAACTGCTTGGGCAAAGGCAGAATTCCAGTGCTGGCTTACTCAGATTGCAAAGCCGTGTGGGGGCAGCGCTACCACGACTGCCCTGGGACTGAAATCGCTCCGTCTCTCCACAGAGGGGCAGTGTGGTCACCTTTTGCCTCTGTGCCTATGAATAAAGCGCCTGTGTGTGTGTATTTCTTGCTTTCATGTGCTTTGTCTAATTAACTGAAAATTTAGCTTGTCTTGTGCACATGAGGGAGCCTTTTCTGCAGTGCAGGTTGGCAATTGAAGGCAGCCAGGGTGCTAAGGTTTGAAAGGTGCTGGATGAATGTAGCCTGGCATCCTTCAAACCTTGGTGTACAAACCAGTAGCTAACTAGAAGCATAATAAGAGCTAGTAAAATAGTGATGATGTGTATTAGGTTCAGTGTTTCAGCTGAAGTAGGAGTCCATCCAAGCAGGACTTCCCGCCATCAGTGTTTTCCTCTGACTCTGTCCAGTACTTGTATTTCTTCACTACTATAAGAGACAGTGGTGAGCATTTGAAGTCCTGTTTTCTGTGCTTGTTGTAGGTAGCTGAGATCAGAATGATGGAGGAATCACTTGACTAAAGTCAGATTCACCCCAGTAGTTGTTGGTCGTTACTCCTGATGTAGCATAAAACCAAAAGACAAATCTTTGTGATTACAGGTGTAAAGAAAAGACATAGCAGAGATGTAAATCAGCATATTTTTAAACTCACTAAGTTTTGCTGTTTTGTTTCCCTCTCTAGATGGGCTTAATTGTAACCAAGAGTAAAAGAGCTGAGAAGATGACAGAGCTTTCAGGTAGGGAGGCAGTATCTTTCTTTAAAACTACAGATCTGTGGCAGTGCAGTTAATTTCTCAGCTTTATATCTTCTGGTAGCTGTGCTTTCCTTGATGTTTGGCAAGTTGTTGTGAAGCAAGATTCCTCGGGTTCTTGCTTTCTGTCACCAGCAAGAAACATGTCTTCAGAGATGTGGTTATAAATGCTGTCTCTTTATCCATCTGAAGAGCTGAAGGAATTAGAAGAGTTCCTTGGTGCTTACATAATACTTTGAGGATATCAGGAAATTGAATTCTGTTTCTACTGGAACAGTTTGTGAGACAATTCCCTCTGTGACTGCTTTGTTGGTGTGAAACACTTAATGACACATGATAGTTTTCTGCCTTTTTGGCTTCTTGAAGTTTCTAGGGATGGAATACCTGTGATGTCTAGCTTTCTGCAGAAGGGGATCGCTTCTAAGGGGAAACAAACTTAGAAGTCATGGTTTGGAAATTGTTGCTGCGTTGGTGCACTTCATAACATGTATAGCTTAAATATTACATTTTTTAAACTTCAGCTGAACTGTTTTATTCACTTGCAGGTAACTCAAAAAAGCACATAGCTGCTCTGAAGAAAGCAGTGGATATGAACTGCCAGGGAGAGCCATCTCTGTATAATTCCCTAAATTTGGCCATGCAGACTTTAAAGTTAGTATGTAAATGGGGTTTTGTGTTTTCTCTGTTTCCCATCATCAGGATAATGCTGATAGTAATTTTTTGAAGGGGTGGAGTCAGTATTTGGTTTTTAACAAGTAGTGTCTTGCACTGTGCTGCTGTGAGTCTTCAAAAAGGTGGCTTTGGTTCCTCATACAATGCAAACTGTTAAGGAGTTCCCTTCTAGACTGGTATCATATTCAGTTTTCTAACATAAGGCGTTTCCATTTAGAGATGAGCATCTTGCATCAAGCAACAGCATCTTAAAAAAAAGTGGATGATTTTACATAGTGTATAAATATGATAGCCCCTGCAGTGTGTTTTTAGCAGAGGACTAAAAGAGAGAGCTGAGGAATAATAATGGTAAGAGAACAGGAAAAGAAACCGTACTCAATCACAGTAACCTCACTGAAGTTTTGACAGATGTCAGGAAGGTAAGATTTTGAGGTAGGATAGACTTAAAGATTCTCTATTTTGCTGTGTGTGTCGTTTAGATCAAGAAAGCATTTGGTGAAAATGGCTTAGCAGCTAGTTTTGTTCTGGCAGCATTTCTAGCTCCAAATCATAGTCAGTGTCACAAAATGTATTTCAAAAAGTGCTTCCAGGAGAGTTCTCAATTAAGGAGTGAGAGGAAAGGCTGGAGTTAAAAGCAGATTTTCATCTATAAGAGACTAATTTTAAGAAGTTAGGAAGAGTTACTGCAGTGTTGCTCGTTTGAAGGTGAATTTTACGTGGGATTGTGTGGATAAGGCATGGGGATAACATGAGCATCATCACAGTCAGATCACAGTTGTACAGCTGTGTAGTAAGAGTTAGATACTGGGAAAAATTGGAGTTTGGAAGGAGAAATTCTGAAACTCAGGATGAACTGAGCAAAGTTTTTCAGGATTTTACAGTCAGCTTCCTTTCAGATCATTTCTAATATGAGTGCATTGAAGTCCTCAGGAACATTATTGTGTGTGTTGCTTAGTGTAAAGAAGTAAACTGTGTGCTTTCTTTAGGCATATGCCAGGACATACAAGCAGAGAGGTTTTAATAGTCTTCAGCAGTCTTACAACATGCGATCCAGCCAACATCTATGAGCTAATCAAGGTACAGAGTCAAAGTTTGACCACTAGTTTTAGCCTCCAAGCTGTTAGAAGCTTGGCAACTTCAGTCCTTTCTTTGCTGCTCAGAGTACAAATCTGATCATTCTTTCTTTCTCCATGTGAAGTGTTTGAAAGCAGTTAAGATCAGAGTGTCTGTCATTGGTCTAAGTGCTGAAGTTCGAGTCTGTACAGTGCTGACCCGAGAAACTGGAGGTACGTTGATGAAGGACTGTAATGGCACTGATCAGATGCATCTTAAATCAAAGTTAAATAACTGGTTTGTTATTTTTTTAATGCGTCTTGGTGATAAGGAATAAATTGTTCTAGCAGGAGGTGTAAGGGCTCAACTCTGTGACTGTGAAACAGTGCAGGTAGCTGCATTTTGGAGAGAAGAAATGCATGTCTTAAAACAGGATCCTACATAAAAAAACTGCATGATGTGGAACGTGATACAGCGTGTTAGTATCACTTATTACACCAGTGGTAATTCCTACCCTGTAATTGGTGATGCAGCTGAGGGTTCACCTGTAAGTGAACATTTTATTGTATGAGTGATAAATCTTGTTTTCAGTAGTATTCACAGGGATGTTTTCTTTTTGGATTAAAAAAATACATATTTTTTTGGTACCAAAGATTTTGTTTTTTTTCTTTTTTAATGCAAAATGTTGTTATTTTCTCTTAGTTGGAGAACATTTCTTCTTGCTCAAAATGCATAATATGAGGCATTTCTTTGTCGTGGCAGGAACATACCACGTTATTTTAGATGAAAGTCATTATAAGGAACTGCTGATGCATCATGTTAGTCCTCCACCTGCCAGCTCAAGTTCGGAGTGCTCCCTCATTCGAATGGGTAGGGTATGATTTTGGTGCAAGATCTGCAAACCTTCTGCCTTTTTCTGCCTTTTTCTGCCTTTTTCTGCCTTTTTCTGCCTTTTTCTGCCTTTTTCTGCCTTTTTCTGCCTTTTTCTGCCTTTTTCTGCCTTTTTCTGCCTTTTTCTGCCTTTTTCTGTCATGTGAAAACAAAGCAAATGGTTAGAAGAATAATAAAGGTATTATATGATTTTTAGTGAGTTAGCTTTTGTTTTGTTAAGTATACTTCCAGTCATTGAATGTTGTTCCTACAAAGTAGCAAACTTAAAAGTGCTTATAACAAAGGAGACAAGTTGCTCAACTGCATCTTCAGCAGGTAACAGTGCCTGTGTAGCAGTTGTTGTAATGTTCAGAAAAACGAATGATGAAAAACGGTGTTGTTTCTCCCTCCATATTTACTCCCACAGAAGACAGTTATTATAAGATGGTTTGGCTTTAAGGCTGTTTTGCACATGCTTGTCAGGAAGCACGCCACAGCGGTGCACCTTCAAGCAGGTGGATTAAGTACCTTTTCTTCTCCTGGTGTGTTTCTCAATAAATTTAAGCCTAGAGTTAAATTGGCACAGTACCACTAATGCCACCGATTAGAGCACTGACTTTTCTCTTTCAGCCATCCATTTTCACAGAGGGAATGCCTGCTTTTGTGTGTGTGTGTATGTCTGCATGTGTAAATAAATGAACTGGATACTTGGGATAGGCTGGAACAGAAAGACAAATGCTTTTTAGCCTTCATTAAGTGCTGTAGCATCGTGGCAGATGAGACTGTGCTCAAAAGGAGATTTTACACTTCATGTCTGCGTATTATTTTCCCTGTAGTAGGAGTTGCTGTTCAAGGATACGTTTATGTTGTGCTCCTTCTGATTTCCTACCATTGCACACCATTTTCTTTTAAAGCTTTTCATTCAAAAACTAGCTCCAGTAACTTTCAGGCAATGGGAAGTTTATGGGGAAAAAAGAATATCAGTTATAGGAAATACAGTGAGGGATTTATAGTGGATGCAGGTAGAGACTTTTAGGAAAACTTGTTTCTTGGTAAGACTGTTTTAATTCCCACAGTAGCAAACAAAAGAGATGTTCTGCACGATTTTTGAACTTCTCCACTACCATTAAAACTGAAAGATCATTTTTGTTTAAAATCGATAATAGAAAATGTTTTTCTCTTCAGGTTTTCCTCAGCACACCATTGCTTCCCTTTCTGACCAAGATGCAAAGCCATCCTTCAGCATGGCGTAAGTAGAGCTGATGAGAGTTCAGTGGGCTGAGCAGAACTGAAGGCTGTGCAGTAATATGCATCAAATCTGCTCGTTGGTGAAAATACTGCAGAATAACATGGAAAAGGACTGGGAAGCATGGTGCTGAGACTTCTCAGTGAAAATCTCACTTTTGTTTGCACATCCACTCTATGGCCATAGTCACATCTTTAAAGTACGATTTATAAAATTCACATTAGTTTATTTTCTTGAAGATAGAAAAAGGCTTTTAGATACGTTTATTGATACTGCCAATTTTAAAGACATTTCTTTATTGAAATATTTCTGTCCTTACAGAGAAAAATTGATGATAAAGAAGAGCATTCTCTGTATAAAGCTTTTTTAATTTGCTCACTAACTTGGCTGTAAAAAGATGTTTAGAACTGAAACCTCATTTGCTTAATGTGCTGGACCCTGTAATGAAAAGAATTGTAGTTTTAAGGATGGTAGAAGAGCCTGAGTTTTTAGGACAAACTCTTTGAAAGAGTAAGTACTGACGTGCATCTTAGTACAGAATGTTGTGGGGAAGCAGAAATGTTAGTACAAATGTCCTTAGTAATTTTTTTTCCAAAGGGTATTGACTCCTGTATGTGGGAATATTTGGTCTTTATTTTTGTGGGAATATGTGGTTACTGAATACTTCCATGCACTTGGAAGTGGCGTGTAGAAGCTACTGAAAATTAACTGTTCAGTTACACAGTAACACAGTGTTGTCTCTTAAGCACTTAATTGACTTCCTCTGTTCCAGACAACTGGAAAACAACAGTGAGCCATGTCTTACACTGGATGGGTATTTCTGTCCTCAGTGCAGAGCCAAATACTGTGAACTTCCTGTGGAATGCAAGATCTGTGGTGAGTAACAAGAGCAGGTGAGCACATGCATTATGTGCTAATGATCAGAAGGCTGAGGAGTGTTAAAATACAGCCGTGCTCAGAAATTACAGGCCAGCTCTACTTAGTTTCTGCGTTCTGGAATTTCAGCTTCATGCAAGGGACTTTCAGAACTGCCATTGTAAACCTGTATGATACTGTATACTGTGAATAATCCCTTGTTCGTGTGCCTGTTGCTGAAGTCCTTGTGAGTGCAAAACTGTTACTGGCATCACTGAGCCTAGATGCAGCACGTTTAAGTTTCACAGAACATACGTTTGCAATACTTACATAAAAGAATGTTGTTGCTGTTCTTAATTCCTGGAATTGAGGTCATGATGGAAAAGAAAGGCAGGAACACTGAAAATACTTGCTAACAAGAATATGTTATATATCAAAATGTAACAAGCTGTAGGCATTTTACTGCCTGACATCAGTGCGTAGTACAGGTGTGGTTGTTCACCAGAATGGAACAAGTAACTGCCAAGCTGTGGGAAGGATGGGTTTGTTATGTTAAGGACACTGACAGAGATATTTGCACGGTGCAGGATTTGTTTGCAGTGCTTGTAACTCCTGGTTTACAGACCCTTTGATAGAAGTTGCATTCAGGGAAGCTAAAAGAGTTGGGATGGTGTAGAAGCACAGTGAGAGGGCAGTAAGGAAAGAGGAAACTCTGTCACTGGCTGCCTAAGAGGAGAAACAGGATTTGCAAGACAAAGCCTCTACTGAAGGCTGCCTTCTTCAGTACTTCTGAAGGTTGAGTTAATCCTTCTGACTAGAATTCTGGGCAGAATAAAGGAGTTAGGTGTTTATTAGCTGTCTCTTGTAGTAATATCGCTGTCTTTTTTTTATTTCAGGTCTTACACTAGTGTCTGCACCTCATCTGGCTCGGTCTTACCACCACTTGTTTCCTTTGGATGCCTTTCAGGAAATCCCGCTGGAGGAATATCAGGGAGAACGGTATGAAGTGATACTTGTGATAGTAACTCTACCTTTGATAATACAATTGTTGGGTTTTTTTCCACCTTCCTAGCAGTGGCTTCCATACTGCTAGAGAGGCTGCTAAACATTTGGGGATTTTCAATCACTTCTGGGAAAAAAAGTGTTTGTAATTACATTAGCAGCTATCTGCCTGCTTAGTTAAATACTTGAAATTGTCTTAGAAATGATTAATGTGTGGGATGTGTTTTTTAAATACCATTGTATATTATCTTGTAACTTTTCAATTTAAAAACGCAATTTGTTTTTAGGTATTGTCAAGGCTGCCAAGCAGAAATCAAAGATCAAAATGTAAGTACACTGGAATGTGCATGGAGAGGTGCCACAGGTAGAAGCAGTCAAAGAATGGAACAGTCATAAAAAGTGCTTTGGAGGGGCCGAAAAATAATACTTGCTATACAAGTGTGGGCAAGGATTTCCTGGGCTTACATGGACATGGTTCCACTCTTAAGCACGTGGAAGCAGTGACTCAACCTCAACCCTTTTGACATAGTTGCTCCTTGAAATCCAACTGAATTAAGATTTCTTTTGGATATACATTGCAAGCAATATCTATTCCATCTGTTTTTACTATGTTGATGATGACTGTTGCTCTATTGTAATGTGTTGGTGGGTAATTTTCTTCTGATTTAACTTGGTTTTCTACCTTTTCCAGGTTTACGTGTGCAAAACGTGCAAGAATGCATTTTGTGTGGAGTGTGACATGTTTATTCATGATTCCCTGCACTGCTGTCCTGGCTGCATTCATGAGCACCCTGCTCCTGTATCTGTATGATGTCATCTTTGTTAGAGACTGTTGTATCAGTTTAATTCTTGTGCAAATCTTGTGTGGACTGAAAGCCAGATGTGGCTTTCAGTGAGGCAGCTGAAAACAGGAATGATCACAGAAGAATGAGCACTGGCTTGGAAGCAAATATAACATTTCCTGATGTATTAATAATGTTTTAACTGTTAATCAGATACAGATAATTCAGGAGTATATTTATTTTAAAAGTTCTGAGTTTTTCTGACTTTTGCTGTGGGTTAACATGTACATTTGTAAATGTGGGAGTAATAAAACTACTTTGTATATCAGCGTTAACAAAGATATTGTAGAGCAATTTGTTTAATTTTGTTAATTAATTTGTTCTGATGAATGAAAAGCTCGAGCCAGCAGTGTGCTCTTGCAGCCCAGAAGTATCCTGTGTGGCCAGCAGGGAGAGGAAGGGGATTGTCCCTCTCTGCTCTGTTCTAATGAGGACTCATCCCAAGTGCTGCATCCAGGCAGTGCAGACCTCGGCTGAGGAGCTGTGCTCTAGAGCATGGAGCACAAGCTTTGCCTGCCCATGAACGTTCTGCAGACCACAACCACTGTGCTGTGGAGAAGGGGTAAGACACTCAAGGTGATCGTTGTGTGACCTCACCAAGCATCAGAAGGCCCTGATCTTGTGTATACGTATATAGCAGGACTCGGCTTCTTCACCCACAAGAGGACAGCTGTAGCAAAGCTGCTGAGACAAGACTCACATCATCCCAGCTGCACACACCCAGGGGCAGATCCATTCCAATACCACCTCCCTGGTCCCGGGCTGTGTGATGGGTGATGCTGCTCCCTTCACTGGCACTGCAGCGCAGAAGCTGTCACAAGCTGCAAAGGAGAGCGAGGCTGCTGTCCTTCACAGCAAACCCTCACAGCCCCTGCTCATCTCCAGCTGCTCCAGAGCTGTCCCCACTCTGCTCCCCTCTGCTGCAAGCACACCTTTCAGGGCCCCAGCTGCCAGAGCCGTGCAGGGCTGATGAAGCTGACAGTGCTGTAGGATGGGCTGCTGGCAACCCCACAGCACAACCAAAGCCTCATCCTGTGCTCCAAGTCTTGCAGAGTCCACGTTGGACTCTGCGAGCACCTGAATTCTTAGTAAGGATCACAACCCCTTGGTCAGTGACCTCAGAGTCCATTGCTGCATGTATTCAGGCACCAGCCTGGGCTTCCAGCAATGTCCATTTGGATACAGTACAGACCGTTGGCAGTCTTGTTCAGCGCTCATTTCACAACAGGTGGCTTGCTCATGCTATGCTGTGCAGTCCAGTCTCCAGGACCTGCTTTAGCAGAGGGCTGGGCTAGGTGATCCCTAGAAGCCCCTTCTAAACCCTCCAATCCTAGGATTTTTTTAGTGCAATTCTTAAAAGTATTTTTTTGCAAGGTAGTAGAACTTGAAGACATTTATAGCTTTCGAAGCATTTTCTTTCTTAGGATTTGAAAGCACTAAAATAATTTAATGCATGTTTTCCTACAAGAGAAGAATGTAATTTTAATGATTTCTGGAAAAGGTAAAAAAGAAAAAAAAAAAAAAAAAGTTGGAGATTCTGGATTTAGAATCACTTTCCTAGGTATAAATCTGATATACATCTATTTGTATGTGTAAGTCTCTCAAGTTCCCTCAGTTATTTGAGAGGAAAAGAAGCATTTTGGAAGCAGAAGGCAGTAGAATGTGCTTGTTGTTGGGCTGAACAGTAGAAAATCTTGCTGCATCCTGAACAATCATATAGCAAAATATTTTCTTTGTACCACAGTACAAATAACAAAAAGCGAGTAATTCCAAGAGATAAGCTGCATTTGAGAAAAACAGTGTAGGAAACAAACAAACACTTTAATGAAGTCACTTTAGTAATGGGAACCATGGAATCATAGAATATCCTGAGTTGGAAGGAACATGAAAGAATTTATCAGAGAGCATCCACACGGGGGATTCAAGGACTGGGAAGGATTTAGAGGGTGGATAAATCATGTATCAAAGGACCAAGCACAACAGACTGGTATTATTTCTGAGCACTGGAATGTGCAAGAAATGTCTTACCTATCCCAGACCTTCCAGTTATTTGATACAGATGGCTTTCTGTCCTATCTAGAGCCATCCTCTGGGCTTTGTGATTGTTCTCCCAGCTGCTGTATCACATGAATCATGCCAACAGCAAAAGTGCCTTTGCTTTACTGAGCTCCTATTGTGGAAAGTCCTGAGGAATGAAGCTTTGTTACCTTAAAGGTGTGGTTGCATTCAAAGCAGGAACTCTGGTGAATAAACTGAAAAGTACACTGAAACCTACCACAGAATTGTTGGAGTGCTGGTAATCTTGGTTGCACTGAAATACCTCATACTTATTTCCAAGAGAAGAACTGATACAGAGAGCATAAAAGACGTCCAAGATGAGATCATCCTTGCACCCAGAGATCTTCATCAGCTGGGAAAGCTTCAGCTCTCTAACAGTTTGAAATATCTCAATCTAACATCTCAGTCAGCTGTCTTCAGATGGTCTCTGTAGGCTTTACATAGAAGGCAAAGGACTCCCTTTTCTTAGGATGACATGTGCCAAAAGTATCTTGTTATGTTTACACAGTTTATTTTGTTGATGATCATCTCCAGTTCCTGGAGAGGAGTCTCACCTGTGTTCCTTAGTCTGTCATGGTTTCCTTCTTCCTTCTGCTGGCTTTCCCAAGGATTTCTCTTGGCAGTCAAGGCTGTGCAGCTGTGTTCTCTCAGAGCAGGGTCTCACAACCCTGGTTGGCAGCAAAGCCAAAGGGTGGAAGAATATTACAGGAAGGATGCAGTGTGTGGGTGACATCATAAATGAAGTCCTCCCTCAAGGACAGATCAAAGAATGCTGATGGAGTGAAAAAACAGAACCAGGACCTCTGCTGTTATAAACTGCCATTGTAGATACTGGTGCTGGTACCTGAGCAACTCAGTTTGAACTAAATAATAATTACAAGTAGGCCTATTTTTGTTCTAGAAAACTTATAAAGAAACCTTGATGAGAAAGCAACTCTAAATTCTGTAGGAACTGGTAACAGCTCCATTTGAAAGGAGGACAATGAACACACTTTCTAGTTTGAGAACAGTGTTGAACATCAGCTTACCCTGACAAAACTGTCATCAGCATGAGTTAGGATTTATGGATTGTCCATATACTGAGGCAACAAATTTGTTATATATATATATATATATATACGTATATATATATATATATGTGTATATATATATATACGTATATATATATATACACACGTATATATATATATGTTATAATACGTATATATATATATATATGTTATATATATATATATACACACTGATGTACAGAATTTGTCAGCTGCTTCTTGCTCTTGTAATTTGTGAATATAAATCAAATCCCCAGTCAGGTCAAAGTCACTACTATGCAGATGAAACCTGTAAGTAAATTTTATCATTTTGTGAAAATACAGGATGATTTTCTATGCTTCTGCTTCATGAAATTGCAGATGTATGTCAGTGGCATACGAGCTGCCACACATATGTGCTTTTGTATACTAAAGAAACGAAGCTGAAATAACTTTCTGCAATGTTTACTTCTGATCTTTTCTTTTGCCTTGTACTGTGGCCATTTCCATGGTTTTGTCAATACCTGTGTGGATTCCTGAGGAAAGAATTCCTGCACAGTGAATGAACAACAACACTGATAAGCAAGCATAGAGCTAACAGCTCAGGAGTAAATTTTCTATAATAGCAAAATGCCCAGAGGCTTTACCAGCCCTCTGCCGTGCATTGCTGCCTCCTAGAAGTGGCCAAACAATTTGGGTTGTTTGCATGTATCAGATGATGGTGTTAATTTTGAAGGCAATGAAGTTTTGGTGCCCCGAAGACATAAATTCATAGTACTGAAATGGTGAAGAAAACATTAAAGTTATAGCTGCCAGCTTATTAACGAAGATATTTGCTCATTCTTTGCACTCACTAACAAGTTCATCTTCATTTAACTGAAAGTGATCATGGTGGTTTCTGGGAGGAAGTCCCAGACCCTCAGCTATGGCCAAAGAACAGCCTGTCCTGTCTGACATCCTTCAGAAATGGAGCTCTCTGCTGTCACCTCCTAGTGACGTCCAGGAGGAGTCTGTGAGCTTCTCAGGGTTTCAGTGCACTGATGTCAAGCACACAGATAAAATGGTACTGCTTCTTGTGACCTAACAGGTTACTGTGGGTCAGCTGTACTTTTTGAGGAGACTAGAGGGGAGTTTTGGCAACGTCCATCATAGAATGGTTAGCTTACATCTCACCGTGTAGATGCAGAGATGAGATCCCTAGTTGCTAGAACTAATGTGCTGCCAAAACATTTCTTGAATACTTACTTAGGACAATCTCAAAACAATTCAAACTTTCTCTGTTACAGCATTACAGAAACAAATACGAGAAAGTTTAAAACACTGAATAACAGTCCTGATTTAAAGGAGATGAACTTGACTCCCATGTTCACAGGCCAGATCAAAGTCAGCGTTCATCAACAGCCAGAGCTTTTGTCCCATGTTTTTCTTGACTGCCTGGCTTTTTGACAATAAGAATGCAGAACTGGCTCCTTCATTAAGAGGAGTTTAAAGCATTTGATCTAAAATCTTTAGTGGGAACAGAATCCCCAGTCTAGGAGTTAAAAGTTACCTTGGCAATGGCTCTTGCCACTTTTACCTACTGTTTAAGACGAAAATGTTTGAAAGTGTTTTTTTTTTCCCCCTTGCTGTATGATAAACTACTGTTCCTGCATTGCAAATAAACACATTCTCAAGAAATATTTACCACAATGAAATATACTGGTCTATTCTACAGCAGCAACTTTCTAAGACAAAGAAGGAAAATAGAAGCAATAGAAATTGAGAAAAGTTAGCTGTCTTAAGTAGTTACAGATTGTAACTGATACCTGCAGTTGAAGAAAAGTGTAATTCTGCTAAAATAAAAAATTATTTCTATTTAGTTCTTGTGCTTGTAATGAAATTAGTTATGCAAATAATTTACCATGAAATAGAAATCATAAGCCTATGTATAACAGGAGTGAACTAAAGATTATGGTGGATGTCAAATTTTACTAGTGCTAAAAATTGATGCAGACCACTTGTAACTTTATTCCAGATATTACCACAGGACTAGCTACAGAAGTGGATGGCAGTTGTCTCCCTTCAGCAACAAGCAGCTGATGAACCACTGATCTAGAACCTTAGTATCACTGTGAGCAATCTTAGTTTACTTTCAATGGACAATTAAAGAAAAACTTTCTGAAGCCACTTTGAAAGCTTGATAGGGAAAGGAATGTAACAGAGCTCGGAAACTACACTGGGCTGCTTTCCCCATAATAGAAACTGCTGACATTAATTCAATCATCATTCAGTTTTGTGCCCACAACTTCCACTCCACAAGAACTACAAATGGTAAGGGCCGAAATGTTAAATCCACAATTTCAATTACCTTACCACAATCTCCTTCTAAAACACTTGGTTTTACGACAGTACCACAGAAAAACCAGTAAAACACATCATGAAATCATACAAGAACTTCAGCAATTCATTCAGCAGAAAGCGAACAAAGAGAAAATCAAGATGCCTAATGTAAAAGTTCAAAAAGCAGAACTTTATTAACACGCATTTCAAACAGGAAATGGGCCTCTCCAGCTGCCATACACAGCAGACCCCCGAAACAAGACAACTCTTCTTAAACTTGAAGGCATACTGTTTTTCAAGTCATTGCCATCAAAAACGACAGTAACACAAATTGCTGTCATGTGTCCTAAAATAGTATGCTGCAATTGCTAGTTCAGGTGTTACCAGTCAGATAAAAAGTCTAAGGAATACAACATGAGTAAAGGATAACAACAACAACAAAGAAAATGGCCAAAACCCACACTTGATGGGTTTATTATTTTGTTTCAAGAAAGTAGAAAACACTTCATTGCAGCAGTACTTTCTAAACACAGTATGCCAAAACGTCTTCAAGGAATAGCTTGTTTCAGTGCATATGCAATTACTAGCCTCAAGTCATTTGTCTACTTGTTACCATGGGCAGCTCACTGTTACGAAAACAAAGTTTTATCATCTTTGCTGAAATTCTGATCTTCACCATCACCCAGTGCACAAGTGATAAACATCTCTCAGTGACAAGCATCTGTACCTGTCTTTAGAAAAGACAAGAATTAGTAGGTCAGATCTAAAAAACACAACAGAAACAATAAAACAACAACAAAAGAACTACTCCTCTGCACAGAAATAGCATGCTTATCACAGAAAAATCAGAAAATGTACTTGCAAGAATGGAGTTCTGCCCTACAAGGAACCAAAAAATGTATTGGGAAGTTCTAAACAAAAGATCACAAACAAGAGCGCAAGCACTGAAGTTGTTAGAACAGGTCAGAAGTGAGAGCCCCAAATGCTGACTTCGTCCAGAAAACAAAGTGCAGCCACTCATCAGGCTAGAAACAGTTGCTTTTTAAAATACGTACATAAATATGTAAATTATATTTTATCATTTCACTTAACAAAAATTAAACAGTAAGTAGATATGGTGACAATAGTTTAAGTCAACCATCCTGTTAAACATGTGCAGAGAGATACAGCAGTTAGTTACACCTCTCATCACAGCACTTAAACACTGTCCTTCATTCTATCCAAGAAAATAACATTCTACTGGTGCTAGGCAAAGGAATGAATTCTCACAGAAAATGTCTTTACAGAGAGCCACGAAAGCAGGTGCAATTCCTGAAGCCCAACCTTTTTGCATAGAATCAAAGGCTTTCCAAGAGCTAAACAGATTTTCAGGTGAGAGTGCATCTTCACTTAGTGCAAAATTACCGTACTTACAATCCTTCAGGAGAGTGATGGCTATTCAGTTATTTTAGATAGGCCTCTCTCTCTAGGGCCGCTTCCATTCGACTTTGTTTTAACCCCTGCAGAACACAATTTAGGTAAAGCTTTTATTTCCCTGTAAAAACAAGATTTTTTCAGTCCTTCACAAACCAAGAATAGTGTTTAACTGCTTGGGGAGATGAGACCTGGAGAATCAAAAGGACTGAAACTAAACTATGTGTCTCCATTTTGTACTATGCCTCTACAGAATAATTACAAACACGTAGTTCTTGTATTAAAAGTGTATTAAAAGAAATCTATGGTTATAACCCAAACAAATTCTAAAGTTATTCCTTTGAAGATACCCTGAGGAGCCAAATTCCCATTCTTAACTGTCTGAATATCAAGAGTTAAATTCTTCCTATAATTCTCTTCCATCATTAACCATACAAAGAACAGAAATCAACCCCCCACAATGCAAGTTTTCAACAGCTATGCTGACTGCGTTTGCTAGGCCTCCATAAGCATCTGAAACAATTACTGGTGAACAAAGTCTCTGGAAAATGCCAGATCTGATGCCAAAAGGGATTTTACTGATCAAAAAAAAAAACAAAAAAACAAAAAAACACAGAAAACCATATTTCATAGAATCATAGAATCACCAAGGTTGGAAAAGACCTAAAAGATCACCCAGTCCAACCGTTCACCTATTCCCAATAGCTCCCACTAAACCATGTCCCTCAACACAACATCCAGCCTTTCCTTGAACACCCCCAGGGTCGGGGTGAACAGAGAAGGGTACATTCATATTTGCTTCACCTGCCTACAAACACAGAACCTGTTCTTTCAATACTGATACAAAACACTGGTTAGAAGAGTGCTTAATGGGATTGTAAGTAGGAAAAACAACTTAAAAAAAACACAAAAAAAACCTCAGCTGACCAAACACCTGAGCTCACATGACTCCTACCCCAAGGCAGGAATATGCACACAATGTAAAATAACCTTAAGTCTAACAATACAACAATATTACATACATTTCCAGACAGAAATAGCACATACCAGGTAATATCCAGTGTGATAACCACTCATATACCAAGCTATCAACATGCTCCCCAACGCTTCATCATCCTCAGGAGAATCTGGCCCCATAGGTGGTGGAGGAGGAATCAACTAAGAAATCACAAAGAAAAATCCAAGTTGTCTTTGTTTCCATGAGTTATATCCCAGGTTAGATAGCAACAAATTCTAAATGATCAAAATATACAAGTAAAAGCAAGGAATATATCCTCAGTTGCATGCCCCAAAATGGGGCAAGCAAGGCAATCTTTTCAGGAAACATTCAGCTTCCAAAGCCTGGGAGAAACACTGCTCCTGTAGCTTGGCTGTTCAAGAGTTTAATTAGGCAAAATATTTGTCCGTATCAATGAAACACTGTTACTTAAAAAGAAAGGTGTAGTTTCTTGAAGTACCCTCTCTTTGTAATCCTACAGCTTCCTACACCAACAGCTTCCCTATCACAAAAATAAGTAATAATCAGGCTCAATACCTCAGACCCCTGTAATAGGTGCAATTTAATGCATTACCAAATACCTGGAAAATACAGACTTTAACACAGAAATGAGCTCTAAAAGACAGGACACTCAGTTGGGAAGTTTGAGATCACAGATATTCATCTCCACTTACCGGTGGTCCTGCTGGAAAGGGTGGGAGCCAGCAAGACAAGAACGGTGGAAGTGTTCTGAATTTTGATTCGTGCTGTATTGAAATAATTCAATGGTGCAATTAGAGAGAAACTGAAGGTATGTAGATTTTATTTAACAGAAGCATCTGAAGCAACTCAAAACCATAAACTCGAGGCTACGTATCTCAGCAATTTAATGACTGTAATCAGAATACACATTGCTGGGGAGCACTCCATGACTAGAAAAGTAAAACTTACATACACAGTGCACTGCAACTGACTCCCATTGGTCATAGCACCTTCAAGGACTGAATTCACATACATAGTGAGGTAAGCAGAGCTAACACAGACGTATAGTTAACACAAGGTTGTTTTTTTTAAGTTTTCATCAACAGAAATAAATGTGCTCTCACATGAAGAGGCTACACGGTATCAGGCATACAGATAACTTCTCTGCTCCTATGTGGCTCACTCGTGCTAGCTGAAATTACTAAATTCAAGGTGCCATTTCCATAATGCTAATGAATGTATTTTTTTAAGCAGAGCTAAAATACAGAAGAAAACAAACAAACAACTTTAGAATGAAGTCTTTCACAAATGCCAGTTTTTAGGAAACACAGGGCAGTGCATAACCGCACTGTTTGCTTAAGACTTCTCCAGAACAATGAAACTGGAGAACGTACCAAAACCTCAGATAAGCCACTTGAGAAGCTACAGCAGAGCGCTTCTGTGACACCTGTATATCATTTTTGCTGCCTTCAATGTTGTATAAAATAAAAATATACCAAGAGGCTTATAAAGGTGCAGTCTAAAAAAGATTAAGAGTGCTGCTGCTAACAGCATTATCCACAGAACAGCAATCTTCTTCTTTCAAGTTACTAAGAAGTTCTGCGAAAGAGCTACACAGAAGCTGCATTACTTGAAAATTACCCATGAGTGCTAACAAGCAAGTTCACATATCCACTCTCAAAATGCTTTTCCTTTCCTTCTCAGGCAATGACTAGGGTGGTAAGGCACTGCAACTGACTCCCATCGGTCATAGCACCTTCAAGGAGTGAATTCAGGGAGTGTTTGGACAACACAATCACATATCGGATCTGATGTTTAAGTGGTCCTGTGTGGAAACCAAATTTAAACACTGATCCTTGTGTGTTCCTCCCCAGCTAAGGATATTCTATGAACCTATGGAAAATATTACCTTACTATCTCAGAATTTAGACAGCAGGTTTAACAGTGCTGTAGGAATTATCTCAGAAGATGCTTGGCTTACCCTTCCCAAGCCTGGAGGTGTTGGTGGTTTCGGAAACCGTAAGTTTTTAGGAGAGAATCTTTCTTTTGTGCAGTTATTTTCATTTTGATGTGACTGGGAAGATTTTTCGCTTTCATCTGTTGAATATGGACTCTCGTTTTCATTCTAGAAGACCAAAACATTTTTATGAGAGATACACACAATAGGAAATTGCAGAAAGCAACTCCAGTGTGAAAAAAGTAGGGGAAGCTCTGTCCACATCTTTCCCTCCATCTAGGCCTCCCAACCCTCCTTAGGGAATATCACAATCTTATCTGTTCATCATTTTCAATGTATTTTGTCTCACCTGTAAATTTCTTATTCCCACTTTCTACCATGCATACTTCAGGAAATAAGGGCAGGCTTATCACGCCCTCCATCTGTGCATGTCCCTTCACAATGGAACTGGGTTTCAATTCTCACATAACCCATCTGGTTACAGCAGAGGTGCCAAAATCATTGAAAAAACACCCTTCACCTCCCCAGAATTCCCCATCTATTTACTGTTTCATCGCTTGCTGGAGGAAGTAGATCAGCCAGGTTCTGTTCCTCCTTATTTCCATATCCGGTGTAAGTAACGACACATGTACCCCTCTTCAGATTTATGGAGGCAATAGTTGCTGGGTAGACATTACCATCCTCAGACCAGACAGCGTTACAGCAGTCACCAACTTTCCACTGCAACAGAAATGAGAAAGCCAAGTAAAAGCCTACTCCAAAAAAAATCACTGAGAACAAATCCTTTTCCCAAACTACTTCTTTTTCTCTCAACCATGAGAACGATGCGCCTTGCCCAGGAAGTTTTTCCCCGGTGAAAACGTGTAATGTAAGAGCTACCTACAGCCTACCTACAGCCGAGGTCTGTCACACCATTTCCTCCCCCCCGTTATTTCCAAGGTAATAACAGCAAGCTCGTTTTGACTACGGCTGCGAAGCACAACCTGCAATACAGACATCAACACAATCTACAAAAAGCTGACCTGTTTCAACGGCACGCCGTTGCTCTTGTTTCTGTTCCTGTTCTTCTTGCTGTTTTTCCTTTTCATCCCGGGCCGCTGCTCCTGCTTATCCGAAGGCTCTGCGCAGTCCCCGTTCTTTAAAGCATTCTTCAAGAAAGAAAAGGAAAATAAACCACAAGAAGCACAGCACGGGGGCTGGGCAGCCGAGTGCCGAGCGATGAGGCCCGAAGCCCCGCGTCCCTCGCGGCTTCCAGCGGGGCCGCCCCTCACCTTGAAGGAGGCCACCGCCTTGTCGTACGCCTTGATGAGGGCCGTGTCGTCCCACATATCCGAGTCGTCGCTCTAAAGAAACCAAGGAACGCCTTCTAAGAGCCGTCCCGCCTCGCTTCCCGCGCTCACGTCCTCCCCCCCACCTCAGCACCCGCAGCCCACCTGCCCGGCGCCGCGCCGGAACAGCACTCTGCCCGCCATGCCCGCCCCGCCCCGCGCGCTGCCCGTCGCGCATGCGCACCACGAGCTTCCGGCAGGCCGCACCTCGCGCGCGGCATGCAGCCCCACCCCGCGCGGCGGCTACAATGGCGCGGCCGTCTGTGGTGATCCGGGAGCGGCCATGTTTAGGTTGCACCCAGCGACGCTTTGAGAGCGGGAGCTAAGAGCCAAACTACGGCAGACGGAGAACTTCTCTTCATTTCTCACAAAGTAGGGCAGACTTGAAACCCAGCAACGATCACGGCTTCATTCAACACTCCTCCCTCGGAGGTTTAAGACTCACCCACGCAGCCAACCTATGTGCAAAGGGCTGCCCTTTTCATGATGTCGTTCTTATCGTGAGTTTGAACACATTTGTAACCCTTTTAGCGACAGAACAACCTCAAGATCTGCCAACGTTTGCAATTCATTAATTTGAAGTCTGGAGCTTCTCCAGTTATTACGAGCAGTTCTCGAAGATTACCTGTGAAACCGAAAACTGGATAAGCTGCTCCTGTAGCACAGACTGAACAATGACGTATCGCTTCCTCCGCATTTCCACCTATTTTGTGTTCTTTGCTACCTTCAAAATCAACTGGTTAACAAGCATAACCACTTCAGATTAGACAGTATTTCATGCAACATTTTATTGTAAAAATACAATGAATTCTACAGTTCAGACCTCTGTAAGTCCAAGCACATTTGATTCGCGTGTTCCACTGTGGAGGATGCTGTACTTTAAAAGTTAAGACAAGAAAATCAGGTCTCACTGTAGATTTAGAAAACTGATTACTGGAACCATTAGGTAAAATCTACAAATGCAGCAATAGCTGGAGTAAAGCTATTACTACCTATTTCTATGCATTTCTATGCATGCAGAAGACTATAGTCAGTTTTGAAACTGCATTCACAGAATCACAGAATGACAGAATTGTAGGGGCTGGAAGGGACCTCCAGAGCTCATCGAGTCCAACCCCCTGCCAAAGCAGGTTCCCTACAGCAGGTCGCACAGGTCGGCATCCAGGCAGGTCTTGAACATCTCCAGAGCAGGAGACTCCCCCCCTCCCTGCAGCCTGTTCCAGTGCTCCTCACCTCACTGCACAGAAGTTCCTTCGCACATTGGTGCAGAACTTCCTATGCTGCAGTTTCCGGCCGTTTCCCCTTGTCCTGTCTCCACTCACCACTGAAAAGAGTCTGGCCTCACCATTCTGCCCCCCACACCTTAGATATTTATAGATATTATTATATATAGATATTCTAAACAACTAAGCCTATACTAAACAGAAAACAAACTAATGCTAGTTGAACAAGGCTGCAAGATAAACATTTAATCATTTAATGGCAAGTCATTTTATGAACAATCTTCTAGGTCCTTTTCCTTGATTGATGTATTTTTATCTTCTCCACACAGACAGTTCATTTTGCTCCAGCTTGCAGAGACTTCCTTTCATTTGCTGCCTTCTGTTTCTGCTGCATTATTTCAGAGTCTCTGTGAAGAAAGAAAGAAAAAAAATGATCTCAGATATTGGCTTGCTGTTTTGCTAACCAGATTTTCATACATCTTTTTAGCAGCCCTTTTTCAATTCCATTTCAATGAAGGGCATATATTATAAAATAACTAGTTAACCACTATCGCATCTTTATCCTGGTCATTTCAGCAAGCTACCCCATGATGTAGAAATGCCACTAGACTAAGAGAATTACGTAAAGTATAATGTAATTTTAGAAATAAAGAGCACAATGGATCAAACATCTTCAAGACAGTATTACAAAATATTTCCCTGTTAATACCAGACAAAAAGCTGCTCAAAAGCACTAAGCCTTTCCAGTCTTGCCAGAAATGTATATGCCAACATGTATAACAGCAGATACAGTAAAACCTACTTCCAGGTTTAGTACTCTGATAAATGAGTGGACCATGAACCAAAGAAAAGTACTTAAACCCTGTTTCAGCTAACACACTGGATGTTGTATGTCTCATTTTTCCAGCTATTTTGCACAATCACTCCAATCAAGGGTGCTGTGTACCTTACCTCTGCTTTCTCTGAGATGCAGACAAGCTATCCTCTTTCCTTTTCCCTTTAAGAGTTTCCTGAGTCTTCTTCAGGTTCTTTTGTCGGGCAAGTTCACGCTGATTTCCACCTACAAGATACCGTACAGTTTATACAGGCAGCACCACTTTCTAAATGCAGTTAGCATGTCTATTACAAAAATATTTATTTGGCTATTTATTTGGCTCATTTTGCAATTAGCAATTACATTATCTTTTGTCATGGCCTCTCTTGCATAGTGAAGCAAGAAAGCCTTATTGAGTGCACCCTCAGCAAGTTTGCAGTTGACACCAAGCTGAGCGGTGCAGCTGACATGCTGGAGTGCCCTTTGGGATGCTACCCAGAGGGACCTGGACAGGGGCCTATGCCAACCTCACAAAGTTCAACAAGGCCAAGTGCAAGGTCCTGCTTCCTGGTAAGAGCAACCCAAGCACAAATACATGCTGTGTTGAGAATGGCTTTAGAGCAGCTCTGAAGAGAGGGATTTGTTGGTGTCAGTTGATGAAAGACTCAGCACAGGCCAGCAATGTGCACTTGCAGCCCATGAGGCCAACTGTACCCTAGGCTGCATCAAGAGAAGTGTGACCAGCAGGTCAAGGGAGGTGATTCTGCCCCTCTGCTCTGCTCTCATGAAACCCCACCTGGAGTATTGTATCCGGTTCTGGGGCTTCAACATAAGAAGCACAATAACAAGGTTCAGAGGAGGGCCGCAAAGATGATAAGAGGGCTGGAGTACCCCCCTACAGGGACAGGCTAAGAGAGCTGGGGCTCTTCAGCCTGGAGAAGGCGTTGGGTGGACCTTATAGCAACAATCCAGTCCCTGAAGGGGGCCAACAGAAAAGCTGGGGAGAGACTAAGGGCTGGTCATGACAGGGTGAGGGGAAATTATTTTAACTGGAGGAGGGTAGATTTAGACTAGATATTAGGAAGAAATTCTTTACTGTGAGAGTGGTGAGACACTGGAACAGCTTGTCCAGGGAGGCCGTGACTGACCCCTCCCTGGAAGCATTCAAGGCCAGGCACAATGATGACGATTGCTCTTCCAATGACGAGTCTTCCTCAAGAAGTTATAAACATGATGTCACCATCCAATACGGCTTACAAATTAATTTTAGACTGAAAGAACCGCATTAAAATTAAGGCAACTTAAGGGAGCTTTTAAAGCCTCCTCAAACTCTTCCCAAGGCCCTCTTAAGAAATCAAGCAGCCAATGGCCATACTTATTTGGACCTCAGAAAAATCTACCTGTTTTTCATCTGTGATTGCTGTCACACAAAATCACTGCTAGACTCAGCAGTGGTCTTGTGGTCAAGCAGCCTGAACTTTTAAATCTTGCTCATACTTTGCAACAGCAGTACAAATCTCACACAGATTTGTAGAAGAAATACAATTCCAAAGATGCCACTTAGAAAATGACCAGTATTGTTAAGGTGTATATTCAGATCTGAGAACTTTTACTTTACATTTTATTGGATTTGTATTCTATTACCAGTATATGCATATCCCAGAAGTTCAGTTAGGACTACTATTAAATGTTAGAGTTGCCTTCACCTAGAACTGTGAAAGCAGAGAAGACGATGGAGTATACAAGCAGCTGAAGAGTTTAACTGACTTTTGCTCCAAGACAGCTCCACTGTACTCTGTATGAGGCTAAAGGAGACAGTTTCACCCCAGGATTAATTTTGCAAAGCATGTAACACAGAGAACCTTGGAACAGAAGTGGAGTTCACAAAGTTGAAATTAATACACAATCAGAACCCCACATCCTCATCAAGACACCCTGATAAGTATAAAAAGAGTTTAGCACACTCCCCAGAATAAGTGTTTACAATGTCCTTGCACAGGGTGGACACCCTGAACACTGTTCCCATGAGAAGGCAGTCCCATCGCTTTCATGGACAAACAGTCAGGCAAGTTCTTGCCATGGGCTTTTGTTCATAGCTTTCCTTCCTCTGCATGCTTCTTTGATTTCATTCTAAGCTAACAGCTTCCTCCTTTTATGAGTTTCCCTATATAGGTGATACCTTGGCAGCAAGGACACAGTCACTGTTGGTCTACCTACTTTGCATGTGAGGCACTGTTAGTCCATTCAACTTACTACAATTGAACGGTAATAAATAAGTGACTGTAAGTCATTTGAGAGTACATTTGTTGAGTACATTTGTTGTACTCAAGCACAGCCTTACAAAGTGTTTAGCCTCCCTTTCAACAGACAGCAATAAGAGAATATATTTTTATTAAAAATATACATACAACACTGTTGCCAGCACAGAGGATGACTCTCTGGGGACAGAAAGCTTCCTCCACAACTATCAACACCCTGAACTAGCTGCTAAGAAGTAAGGCTTGCAATCTTTTTGATCTGAAAGCCCTCCTGAAAGCATGAAGAACTGCACAACACAGCAACTGCTCAGAACAGTCCCACCTCTCCAACTAAACACTCCAGGTCTTCTTTGTAATGGCCACAGCCATCACAGACACACTTTTGTATTAGCTGAAAATCCTTAAGATGACCTATGCCATCTCTCAAACTCCAAGACCAATCTTTCCAATTACATGCCTGTAATTTCAGGTATACAGAGACAGAACAAGAAGAAAACTTAAAGCTTTCCTGTTGATATAATCCACAGTTTCTTTGTACAAACCCACTTCTGAGCTGACAAATGTACTGCCATGCCCACAAGACAAAAGTGTTCCTTCTTCACAGCAGTTTGTATAGCCCCTGGCAAGAGGCACAACATACAGCATATTACCACTGCTACTTCCTGAGGGCTGCTCCTGCTTCTCAAGATGTACTTCACCTGAGACTGACTACATTTTGCAAAAGCTAAAAGAATTTCAGCTCCATCCTTCTCACAAGCACTCAGTGAGATCCTGTTCCCAGACTTCTGCCACGTGAAACAGTCAATATTTTTTCAGAAACGGAAATGAAATGGCTATCTCTGGCAGTATTGGGAGTTGATTAGAACTTGATGACTCATGAGCAGATGATACATTCCAGGCTATAAATGGTTCTTCAGTTTTCTAGTGCTTAGTGCATGAATGTCACATGAGTATATCAGTAGCAAGGTCTTACGTGGTGGTTGAAAAAACTAAATAAATATTTATCATGAAGAAAAAAAAAGTGGGAAGTCAAAACACACTGTTCTAGACAAAATTCATACAGAAGCTACCCTCCATTCATAATCTTACACACTCCCTTCTTTAATCAAGTAGCATCTGCAGTTATTCCATACCCGTATGTATAATCTCAGCACAAGAACCAAGCTGGATGGCGGAATGAAAAGCTTGGTTGCTATTACTGCACAGCAAAGGAGAACAGGTGGAAAAGTACGGCAGCACTGCATATACACTAAGCATGCAGAAAAAAGCTGCTATTTGAAAATAAACTTAATTACCATTTCTGTTCCTGAGAAAACATCATAAGGACTATTTGCCCTTTGCACTTTACCTGAGATGCTGACTGAATATTCCTATCTCTTAAGTGATGACGCTGTTTTATACATTCTATATATCAACCTACATCTTCTAGGAATGGTGGTTCTGATAGGAAGCAAGGCATATAGCCTTAGTGCTGCCTATCTGTGCTCTTCCATTTCCAAGATCCAGCTGTCTTTTTAGAGAAAAGTAAGCAGAAACTTCTGTACAGCACTGGAACAAGCTGTAATCATTTTTCCTGGACAGAGGCCAAAGAGCATGGCAGTAAAGACTGAGTAGAGATGCCACAGTCCCTGGAGTACTTTCTGAACAGCAAAGGACCTAATCACATGTCAGATCTCCAGCAGAATAGAACTGACCACCACTGTGTTCCGAAAACAGAATGCTGAAGTAAACAGGGCAGTTTGATACAAACACAAAGGAATAATGGAAGATGAGTACCAAAAAAAAAAAAAAAAAAACCCAACCAAAAATAACAACCATTCATCATTTCATCCAGTCACCAATATCTTCACAGATTTATTGCATTTTTGGGCATCTCGGGTAGTTGCACATTTTCATTCTGGCAGTACAAGAACTACCACAAATTTATGAATTCTGAGGCACAGATTCCAATTAGCAGCCCAGTCTCATTCTATTTTACCAGATGAACATCTGAAATGAGAGTCTAGTCCAGACGTGACTGGTATTTCTGAACTAAAGCTTAGAGCAAACAGGGAGGCAGCATACCACAGCTGCTACCCCTCTCTCCAGCATCCTGGCACTGCACTGACCTGAACTGAACTGAAATACCTTACAATGTAACGCTATAGCTCTGTTATCGTTGGCTGCAGGACACTGTACATCTCTTTATTCCTTAACACACAGCTATGAGAACAGGAAACAAACACCATAAAAAGCCATAAGCACGCCACTTTCTCAAATTCAAGGTCTGATCTGTGTGCTGTTTGTGATCCAGGGCATCATTTGCACTTTGAGCAGTACAGAAGACTCAGAGCTGTATCTGTGCTGTCCCAAAGTGCCTCCTCACCTCACGGCAGGCAGCTCCTGTGCTGTTAAATACAACCTGCACAAGCCAAAAGAGCAACCCCACCAAGCAGGCAACACTCTAAATTCAGCTCACAGTTCAGTACAGATATATACAAAACAGAAGACTACTCGTGAATGAATTCACAACGCTTTCAGCCCTAACCACAAACAAAGCCAGGCGCAGTCGCGTACCCGCCATCACACGACAGCCCGCAAGCCGAGCGGTTCCGCCGCTGGCGCGGACCACCACCTCTGCTCAACCTCCCCTCCCCGCCGCTCCCTGAGGAACGAAACACCCCGACAGCCGCGCTGCTCAGCGCGCGCCGCACATCCCAAGCAGCCCTGCAGGCACTCACGGGTCATCGCGACACGCTGGGCCCGCGCAGCCCGCCAAGCACCCCACAGCCGACACCTGCTAGAACCTTCTCCCACCCCGCCCCCCGCTCCCGCTCCTTATGAAGCGCTACCAACCCACACATCACGTGAATCGGGTACGGCGCTTCACCCAACCAGCGTGCCGCGCGCTGGGGGCGGGCGCACAGCTGTGGAGCGGAGCCTCCCGCCGGCCGTAAGGAGGAGGAGGGCGTTTCCATTGCGGCGCTCTACCGCGCCCGCGTCGCGCGCTGATGACGTAACGGCCGCGCCGGCGCGCCGCCTGCGTGCGCGAGCCGGCCCGGCCGTTTTTGCCGCTCCGCCGCCCGTCCCCCCTCGCAGGCTAGGGCGCGCCTCCCGCCGACCCGGTGTCATGTTCCGCCGAGCCCGCCTCGCCGTGAGGCCCAATGTGCGGCCCGTTGGGAGGGGTGCCGGCGGCGCGGCGGAAGCGGAGCCGCAGGGCTCCCCGGCGGCTTCTAGGGATGAGGCTGCGGCTGCCGAAAGCCGGCGGGCCGACAGGTGGGTCCCGCCGTGCTGCTGGGCGCGGGGAGGGCTGCAGACCGCGCCGCGGGGCTCCGGCTTCTGGCTGCGTCAGTCCCGGCAGGGCGGGGCGGGCCTGGCTCGGTAGCCGCAGCCGCCCCTGGGGGCTCCGCAACGCTGCATGCGTCCGGAGCAGCTTGCGCGCCGCGGTGTGACTCGGCATTCTCACCGCGTCCTCCGCTCTGCGTCGGCTGCCGCGTGCACTGCCGAGCTGAAACACTCTGACTGTTCCTCTGGCTTTTTTAGTATCCTAAGTGCTTTTCATTGCAGTGGAAATAGGGTTGGGCTTGGGAGCAGTTCTCCCAGATCTGTCTCCAGTCTGATAAGTGCCCTTCAGAACACTCTTCCCACGTGGCTGGTTTGGCATGTTGCATTATTACCTGATTTTTTTTGGTTTTTTTTTTTTTGTTTTTTTTATGGTAGAATCTGTCCTTTATGACATTCTGTGGTGTGTTTTTTTTACAATTTCTGTTTGTTTTGCTAATAAACACAGGTATTTAGCTAGGCTAGGCTTCCAGAATTCAGACAGTGGGAGAAGGGAGTGTCCAGATGCAAGTATTAGGAGACTGAGGGGAATTTTCAGTCCTGGGAGCAGGCAGTAAATGCTCAGGTGAGAGCTGCTGCCTTATTTCCTACATTTGCTCTTCCTACTCTCCCTAAATTGCACTGAATTCTTCTGTTTGGTTCTGAAGGCCTCTGTTAAGCAAATAGGAGAGAGCAGCCCCTGGGATTTACTGCAGTGTAGGCAGTTATTAGCTTCTTGGAAAGCTGTTTCTGTAGATGATGCATTTTAAAGATTGGCTGCCTCTGAAGATAAAAGGATATGTACTCAGTTTGATTCAAGTTTTGAGAATTGGTGGAATGCAGCAGAAAGAAGGTTTTTGTGCTGTGCAGAAAAATTAATGGCAAATATGGATATCTTATTTTCCTGCCCCACCCAAAGTGTTCTGCCCTAGCCTCTTCAACCTGTACCTGTACTACTTTGTCTTCTAACCTGTGATTTGGCTGTGGTGATTATCAGGGAAATGAAATTCCCTGATCATAAGATGACAAGTTCTTTTTAATGTGGTCTCTGCTAATACTGTGAGCTGACTTCAGTAGGCATCTCAGCCCCACAACAGCTGAGAGAAAATTGGAAAGGTAACAGAGCAAAAATGTGTGGGCAAGATAAAGATACTTCAGTATGTGAAGCAGGAACTACAGCTGCAACTAAAGCAAACCAAGGAGTTCATTCACTTCTTCTCTCTTGACAGTCTTCTCCAGGAAAGCAGGGCCCATCACAGATAATGGCTATTTGGGAAGATGAACAGATTCACCCTGAACATTCTTCCTGCTTTCTTCCTTTCATCAGCTTCTTCCTCTGAATGCAACATCACAGGATATAGGACATCTTTTTGGCTACTTTGGGTCAGCTCTCCTGGCCTTGTTTCCTCCCAGACTCTTACACATCCCCACCTCTGCTGGCAAGGCAGCATAAGAAGCAGCTAAGGCCTGGAATGCGGGCAAATACCAGTTAGTTAGTTACATCGATGAGGGAATTGAGTGCATCCTCAGCAAGTTTGCTGATGACACCAAGCTGAGTGGTGCGGTTGATACGGTGGAAGGAAGGGATGCCATTCAGAGGGACCTTGACAGGCTGGAGGGCTGGGTTTGGGTGAACCTAATGAGGTTCAACACGGCAAAGTGCAAGGTTTTGCATTTGGGCCGGAAGAACCCCAGGCACCCGTACAGGCTGGGAGGAGTGGTCCTTGAGAGCAGCTCGGCAGAGAAGGACCTCGGGGTCCTCATGGACGAGAGACTTAACATGAGCCAGCAGTGCGCTCTGGCAGCTCGAAAGGCAAATGGGATCCTGGGCTCCATCAGGAGAGGGGTGGTCAGCAGGGACAGGGAGGTGATTGTCCCTCTCTACTCGGCTCTTGTGAGGCCCCACCTGGAGTCCTGTGTCCAGGTGTGGAGCCCTCAGTACAAGAAAGACATAGAGATCTTGGAAAGGGTCCAGAGGAGGGCGACTAAGATGATCAGGGGGCTGGAGCACCTCCCCTATGAGGACAGGCTGAGGGAGTTGGGCTTGTTCAGCCTGGAGAAGAGAAGGCTGCGGGGTGACCTCATTGCAGCCTATCAATACCTGAAGGGAACCTACACCCAGGAGGGGAGTAAACTCTTCAAAAGGGCTGACAACAGCAGAACTAGGGGAAATGGATCCAAGTTGAAGGAGGAAAGATTTAGGTTGGATGTAAGGGGGAAGTTCTTCACAAGGAGAGTGGTTAGGCCCTGGAACGGGCTGCCCAGGGAGGTTGTGGATGCCCCGTCCTTGGACGTGTTCAAGGCCAGGTTGGACGGGGTCCTGGGCAACCTGATCTGAATGTGTATGTTTGGTGGCCCTGCTAGGCAGGGGGGTTGGAACTACATGATCCTTGAGGTCCCTTCCAACCCGGGTGATTCTGTGAGTCTGTGATTCTGTGTGATTCTGTGAAACTTGATGCATTATTGATGGTTTTTCACCACAAACCCAAAACGTAGCAACATATGTGCTGCTGTGGGGGCAGTTAACTCTGTCCCACTCGAAGCCAGCACAGATAAGTTATATTTAACTATGGGAAATCTACTATGGTACTCTAGGGAAAGTATATGTAAGCCACAGGTAATGTGGAGATCAGAGAATTTTTTTTGCCCCTGTTCCATGCTGTGCAATCACTGGAGGACACTGGATTGAGCTTACCAGGTCTCATTTAAAACACAAACAGTATATGGTGAAGTTGCTCAGCTCCTATTGAAAGATGTGTACTAAATGCTGAGAGATTATTTGCAGAAGTTTTGCTTTTTTTTTCTTTTTTTTCATTTATGCCTCCATTTGCTTCTGAATACTTTTGGAGTTGGGTAATTAAACCATAGGTGTGGTCAGTGGTTCAGAAACAAGAAATATGTATGAAGTTAAAAAGCTCTTTGTGACTCAGTTGTAATTCTGCTGCAGTTTTACCGTGAGAAGCAGCCAAGGAGACGAATACTAGAACTGTTTAAGATAATAATGATGAACAATTTTGCTTACACTTGGAAAATTCTTTCTATGTAAGAGATTAAAACAGTACCTTAATAAGGAAGTTTTCAAGGAAGGCTAGAAGATGTAGTCCCCTGAAGTACATTTTTTTTATGTGTTCAGTGAATAAGCAGCCAGTTTCACTCCTGAAATTTTTCGTGCTCCTAAAACAAACAAACAAACAAACAAACAAAAAACAACATCACAGGTTAGATTTTACCTATTGTAATAGAGGAATGCATGGATTCCAGTGAAAAATCATAAGGCTACTTGTGCATACCTTTATTAAAATGTTTTTAACATGTAACGCGTTGTGTGCAGTACTTTTACGTATGTTTGTTAACTTCATCATACCATGAAATATCATATTCTAATAGAAAGGTTGGAGCCTCGCAAAAGAGGAATGTATGAATTTGACATTGTTGGTCAACTACTTTGTAGCATTAGTACTTAGTATTTGAAAATAGGCCATTTCTCATATCTGATTAGTTTGAGGCAGTGACAGGTATTGGATAGTTCATTTGTGGCTTCTTGTATACAGTTGAATTTTTCTGTGTTTATTACTATTCTATTTACTATTTATTTCTGTGTTTATGCTCTTCGGTGCATTAGCTGTTCTGATAGCAAGTGTTGTAAATCTGTCACTGTAGAGTATTTCAGACTAATCTCTTACATTTTCCAGTGATGAGAAGACTAACAGCTCAAGTGATGCTGGAGAAGCCAGTAAACCTACAGACATGCCTACACAGAGAAGAAAACGGATTTCCACTATGCCCAATCTTGTCAAACCCAGAGCTGGGCCTTCATCTGATCTGCACACTGCATCAAAGCCACAAAGGCGAGCATCACAGGTTCCTGATGGCAGTGCTTCGCTTCAGAAGGATTCTCCTCCATCAGAGACAAGTCATGTTGAAAGCTCTTCAAAGTCTCCCATGCTACCTGAAAAGAAAACACCTGTGCCACAAGTGCCACAGTTTTCCCCACTAAAAAAATCAGTGAACAAAGAGCAAAGTGTAGCTGCTCAAAAAACTGACGATACCTTGAAGAACATACCCTCCCCTCTTAAGGAGAGGCCAACACAGGAAACATCAGTGGCACAGGAGGAAAAGCTACCTCCAAAACCATCTCCTGTGAAGGAGAAACGAATATGTTCTGACCGTGAAAGGATCCTTAAAGCTCGGAAGTTAAGAGAAATGCTTAAAGAAGAGCTGAAGAAAGAACGGATGGTAGGCTTCTACCTTGAGCAGTGCTGATTTATGAAGGGTCTGCCCTTCATGAAAGATGTTATCTACCCAACGTTATCATTGCTTCTTTGTAGTAGTGTTTCCTGACAATAATCGTACTGCTAATACTTCATGATATGTCAATAGCCCTGTGGGGATTTAATTTATAAGCAGTAGCAATGCTGTGTTCCCTCATTATATAGATGTCATGAGAAATTAGGTATCTTTACTCTTCATTACACTTAACCTTTTTAAGCGTGAGAGCATGCTACTGTATCATCACTAGCATGTGAGTTTTCACAGCTGAAAATACTGTGGTGAAGTGTGCTGTAAAAAAAAAAAAAAAAAAAAAAAAAAAAAAAAAAAAAAAAGCTTGGGATTTGGGATTTCTTGCATCTCCTAGACCTTTGCTGACTGAGTTATGTGACTTAGCTTTGCCAAGTGTTGAATATGTCTGAGAGGGTGAATTTCTTATGGTCCCTTTGATAAATATACACTTTATCATAAACTTACCAGTTCAGTGTGAACGCAAACAAAAAAAGTAACCTCCAAATTCCACCAACAAAAGAACAAACTTCACTTAACTACAGTATGTAATAAGCAAATAATACTATTTATGAAATAAAAAGTACTTCCTGGTTGAAATTAATTGTTTTTTGCTTTTATACAGAAACAACTTAAACACAGGCCTCCAATAATTGAAGGGTGTTCTCCGCCAGATCGCACTAAAATGACCATGAGAGACTTGATATACTATCTACCAGAAAACAATCCCATGAAGTAAGTGTGGCTTTTTTCCTTCTCCTTGGGTTAAATGACTTTTTTTTTTATTTCTGCCAATTTAGTGACTGTGAGGAGAATTCCCAAATCTGGAGCGTTAGCACGGATTCAGTATTATTATAATGATAACAAAAGCTTCTAAACACTTTTATGTCTACTCAGTCTTTGTACAGAAATTTTGTATAAAAATGAAAAGGAAACTTAACATACATGTTGAATTGTAAAATCTTTCCCCACAGATCCTCTCTGTAGAGATGCACAGTAATAGTAAGTTGGTCTTTGCTACGTAGGCTCTGTTAAATTTATTACTAGTTATGAATCACTGCAAAATCTAGTGGACTTTGGGAATGAGCATTTCTCTTCCTAGGTTGAGGTTTCTCTTCCTTAACAACAGACACCATAAGTACAGCTATCTGAGTCCTGTTATTCCTTCCCTTCTATGTTCACGAATCCTGAGAATTCAGCACAGCCTCAGAGCCTCCTGTCATGCATGTGCATCTCTTACTCCCTGGCTCGTTCAGCTGGGTGTCTGCTGTAGAACAGATTCATGCACTCACATACTAATATACAAATATTCCTGCAACAACACAGCAGTTAAATTTGAGCTCTCAGACTGCCTGATGTCCATGCCTGAATGGATCGTAGAGCTTTACCACGCTACTTGTACATACAGGCTTTTGCATGCAAAGTTATATGTTTTGCTCATGAAGAAGCAAAATAGCTTCTGACAGGTTCTTGGTGATACCAGAGGAAGTGTTCATAGGCAGGCCAATAGTCATATACAGGAAGAGGAGTGGAACTCACCCGGCTGGTGAAGAGGCTCTCCGGCTATACAGCACTGCTTCCCAGGAAGAAGCCCAGGTCCAAGAGGTGCCCTCCCTTCTGTAGCTGATGCTTATATGAGCACAAGGGGGCTCCACCCTGGATCAGCCTCTCCTGCTCACATGGGGAACCAATGTGCAAACAACTTGTCTATGATCTCTAGGCCATCTCCAGGTACTCAATCACCAGTTCAAGCTGTGACCTAACATTGAGCTGGGCAGGAAAAAACCGGATGAGGTTTAACAAAAGCAAGTGTAGAGTCTTGCATCTGGGGAGGAATAATTGCATGCACCAGTACAGACTGGGGGATGAGCTGCTGGAGGGGAGCTCTGCGGAGAGGGACCTGGGTGTCCTGGTGGACGACAGGTCGGCCATGAGCCAGCAGTGTGCCCTTGTGGCCAAGAGGGCCAATGGCATCCTGGGGTGCATTGAAAGAGCGTGGCCAGCAGGTCGAGGGAGGTGATCCTCCCCCTCTGCTCTGCCCTGGTGAGGCCTCATCTGGAGCACTGCGTCCAGTTCTGGGCTCCCAGTACAAAACAGACAGGGATCTCTTGGGAAGAGTCCAGCGGAGGGCCACCAAGATGGTGAGGGGCCTGGAGCATCTGTGCTATGAGGAAAGGCTGAGTGAACTGGGTCTGTTCAGCCTGGAGAAAAGAAGGCTGAGAGGGGACCTGATCCAGGTCTATCAGTATCTGAGGTGTGGGGGCAGAATGGCGAGGCCGGACTCTTTTCAGTGGGGAGTGGAGACAGGACAAGGGGAAACGGCCGGAAACTGCAGCATAGGAAGTTCTGCACCAATGTGCGAAGGAACTTCTGTGCAGTGAGGTGAGGAGCACTGGAACAGGCTGCAGGGAGGGGGGGGAGTCTCCTGCTCTGGAGATGTTCAAGACCTGCCTGGATGCCGAGCTGTGCGACCTGCTGTAGGGAACCTGCTTTGGCAGGGGGTTGGACTCGATGGTTTCTGGAGGTCCCTTCCAACCCCTACAATTCTGTCATTCTGTAATTCCCCTCGAGCTGAATAAGCCACAACCTAGTCTCTGTAATTGCTGACAGGTAGGTCTGCATACATCTTGCCTCTCTAGCTGTTTGAACTAAGACCTGTACTGCCTCCGCTAACTGGTATACAAACCTCTCTTATCTGCTAACTTGTCTGGATTCTGGTAACTAGACCTGCTGGTGCAGTGATAGGCAGCCTCTTCTGTGGTAGCTGAGTTATAGATCTTGTGGCAGAGAGATCATATAGAGCAACCTCTCTGCCATAGGAAGGGATGTATTCCATTAGGTAAGATTGCTCTAAGCCCCATCCAGCCTAGCCTTGAACAGTTCCAGTGATGAAGTGTCAGAACTCCTGTTCCTCTACCTAATCACCCTTGTAGTAAAAAGTTTCTTAACATCAATATCTGTCTACTCCTTTTTTAGTTTAAAATCATTCCCACTTGTCCTGTCACTATCTACCCATGTTGATTTCCCTCCTGTTCATAAGCTCCCTTTAAGACCTTTACCAGCCTGAAAAACCTCATCTCTGACGTGCAGAATCAAACTCTGTAACCCAAACAAGATTCCAAAGCAGGTACGGTTTGTTCAGTGCTGTGCAGACACTGGGTGCAAGGCGGATAGATCCGCCTGACTTGCACAGTGTCAGTAAAAATCCTGCTACAGATATAGGCCAAACTAATGCATAATCAATAGTTTTCCTGGAATTTGGGTCCATTTTCATTACACCTCTAGAGTTGTTAGCATGCAGACCATCCCCTCTTGCCGTGCACAGTGGGTTGAAGATCACCTAATCACCTCCCTGCCAGATGTCCTTGGACTGTTCTCAAACCTAATCTGTAAGGCCTTCATCCCTCACTGTCCCAGACCCAGTGTCTGCCATCCTTTATTTTCTAACAAGCTCTACATTCTTTTTTCTATAAACTAACTATTCCCCTTTATCCCCTTATTCTTAGTCATTGTGAAGCCTTCTTGTCTTTTTACTTTCACTTATGGGGCACTTCTCACCTTCAGTTCCCCCCCTTTTCTTTAATCTAGCGGGATTTCCACCTGCTAGATTACTCCTTCTTAACATGTGAAATAAGTCCCGCTTTCCACCTTTTGCTTTACTCAAGTCTCTTGCATAGCTCATACTCCCTTCTAGTATTCCAGCACAGGCAGATAGAGCACCTCATTACCACACAGATAAGGCTCACCAGTAGTACCAGTATGATGTATGCCAAGAAAAACCTTAACTATCCTAGATTCAGTAACAAGCTAGCAAGTGAGCCCCATAGATTTATTTCCCAGTGTTATCAATGCTTGTCCTATGCAGGACTTT